AAAAGATCATACGTTTCGGGAGGTGCTTTTGCTTCCATCTTCAGGTGAGGGTTACCTACTCAGATGGTTCCGTTATAAAAGGCCATTCTAGATCTTCCTACCGGACCCATGTGAGTAGGCACCACGGCGGAGCCTTCGTATTAACTGTGTTAGCCGGGCTAACACTCTGAAAGAACGAAAAATAAAGTCTTCTGTCTTACTTTCGTGGTTCCCGTGGTAATCTGCACATTGGAACATAGCAGATCCGATGAGATAAAATGCATCGTTAGCCAGCTAGCTAGTACATTTCAGAGGTTTTTGTTATGCAGTCTTCTGCAATTCTCAGTTTGTTTCCATGTCACATTATCTTCCCTGTTCGTTTTCCAATTTCTGTTCTTCTCCTCAATAAGAGAAAGTTTCACAGCTGAACAATACGAGTGGTAAATTTGTTGTTTTGATATGTCTTTAATGTTTGGTTGAATGTCGATGTTGAGGAAAGCCACGATACCTGTATCAGGATGGCCACCTTTATGATCTAAAACCGATTAGGGGATTCCCTTCTAGGAACTAGGACCGCTAACTACTCGTACTTCGTCTCTCTACAAGCAAATACTGGGATAAAATCTCAAAGCAGTCCACCTTCGTTTCTCCTTCATTATTAATTAATTATCCCTTTCTTCGACGCCTTATGGTCTGAGCTACTGACTGCATCATTAAATAAACCACAGATAATTAAATATATCCTCAGTAAGTTTTCTTCGAACACAAGTGACCTCTGCTCTTCTCTCAAAGAAGTTTGGTAACAAGGATTTTAAAATAAAGGGAGATAAGGTCAATTATTAAATTTTATTGCAACTATCTAGCCGCTTTTTTCGGAGTTGCTGTGAGTCTCTGTAGGGTCCAAAGTTTAATGTTCATGGCTTGTTTTGTTGGCTCTGAAGATTGGGCGAAAGTCGTGAAAAACCCAACTCTTAGGAAAGTTGTCCATCCTCATAAATTCCACGTGCTTCGGCAGAACTAGGGGAGTTGAGGGCACGTAATGGTTAATTGCTTCTTCCGAAGACTAATTATTTTGAGACTTTATGAGATTACAGATTCTCACGGCAATGAAGATGCCGACTGTTTTCTTCTGTGCCGTGACGCCAGGGCAATATGTTCCTCCCACCCACCTGCAAGTCCGCACGGCGTCATAACGTAGAAGACCACCACCGACAACTTGACATGTTATTTAGCTACGAACAAGATTAGATGGAACTATGGTCGGGGGATTGGACAGAATTATGAAGAATAGACATGGTGTAGGCCTGTTTCTATATTTGTGTAAAGAGGCTGTGGAAAGCACAGAAGTGTGTCATGTGAGACTGTGTCCTGGCCCATAGGTGAACCTCCCAAATACAAGTGAGACAATTCACAGCTTGATTTTCGTCTGGGCCTTCTCCAGACCTGAAGCCATAGTCAACCTTTCTTATCGACTCGCGTTCCGCGATGTTATTTATGCATGACACCAAGGAAATTTATTAAACAATTAAAATTGGTAATAAATCAAGCTAACTAGCATATATTTCATTCATATATTCTATTACTCAGTAATACTCTTTAAGAGGTCTGAGACTATATGTACTACGCTTTTGTCTTTTTTACCTGAAGACGGAAACAGATTCAAATTCCGAAACGCTGTGGTTTTAATATCACATCCTCTCGTCGCTGATATGTGCACTCACGTATTTTCTTTCTCCAATGTTCGTATCTTCCTTCTTCAGTCGCGCAGATCAGAGGCCACCATAAAATAATAGGTCCGTACCTTCTAACAAGTTCATCCCGTTTTTATTGGTCTTGTAAAGAATAAAACCTACATAGTTGCTTTTCACCTCCATGTTAGGGTATAAAAAATTTCTGGATGTGTGTTCGTTTAGTTGCCCTGTACAGAATAACGCACGCCATTATAAATCAATTTCGAAAACACGTTTCACTCCCAGTATGGTCAGGTATTCGTACGTGATTCTTATTTGTTGTCTTTTTCTTTACGTAGAAAGTGAAATTTATGCCTAATAAAACGTCTTCCTCTTAGTGAGGGTAGTTAAGCGAATGGTTTTAAGACGGTCAGCTCGACCTGATGGCGGCCTTGACGACAAGTCTATTCGTAATTACTTAAGTTGGCTTAAGATTGAGCGAAGTGCCTGGGTTAAAGGATTTCTTCTATGGCACTACATCCCGAAACACGAAACTAGCCAGACATTGAGGATGAAAAAGAGAGAATGTCTGAAAGACAAAGTACGTAAGATGGGAACAATAAAGTAAACAAAATACCATACATTTTATGGGGGCGTAAATGAATACAAAGAAGGATATAATCGTGTGTTGAACTTGAATTAGAGTGTCTAGTAATTTGCATGCGAATCCCCATAGCATTGTTGGAAGACAGAAAAATTGAATTTAGTAAGCTGTTAAACATTTTTACATTTAATTAATTATGAGGTACTGCCTAATCATTGATGGTAGAACAAAATATTTTGCGCGGTCGACATATTCGTGTCGTTAATGTTTCAGAGGGTTATAAAAGTTGTTGAAATGGAAAGGAATCCAATTCTTCACAATAATGTATGTGAGAGTAAAACAGATAATCATACACGTTCCGAAGAAGCCTGTACAATTTTTTTAAAATGTGTAAAATTTAACCATTTCGAATTATGAATTCATTTCACTGGAATAGTAAGTCACACCCAAGTGAGACATTTTGGAAACTCATGCCACAGATTTCCTCGCCGTTTTTTTACAGGCCTGCAAATGTACCGACATACGATGTTCATTTTAAACCACACGAGAGGAAGCTTGCCAAGATTGGACTGGGAAAAAAAAAACAAAGACAAGAAAGTAATTTGAATTTATTCATGTCGCTTAGTTGTGATGTAGCCCGCCCCTTAAACGACCAGGGGTCTTGTTCACGCCCCTTCCTCTCCAACCCACTCGTCCTTTAATTCACGGATTCATACAACTGTGTACCAACACTCCAAAATATTGGCAACAGTTGGTATGACAGAGACACAAGGCAGTTCGAGACGCTGCAGCGGTTGAAAGTGTGAAGTTTTGATCACAGGGGACCCATCATAAAATTGATAATTGATTACCCACCTATTGTTGAAAAAGAACCACTGATCGTGATAGCTGGGGGGCCAAGGGTGGATTAGTGCATTTCTTCTGTGCAGCTCCGAGTCCTCGAATCAAATTCGGATTCATCCCTTGACAACAATTTATTACATTCCCATACATGCTGGTTCCAAATATGTACTTCCTTAGTCGTTTCAGAAAAAGAATAACTTGTTTCTGATTCTCCCTGTAGTTACTGGAGTAATTAAGATTGTGCCGTAAATTTATAATTCTTCGAATCGGCCACCATTGCTGGGGTTGCTGTAAGTAGCCTTAAGAACTATGACCACTCAGTGATCGTTTTACGGATTTTATCGATTCATATATCGAAATCTCTGCTTCGATTATTGGCATTAACACGTTGAGAGCTGGGTATATACAAATCAGCCCTCTTTACAACAAATGACTGTTTCTTTTACCGTTTCCACCCCCCCTCCTGTACCAAATATTTAAAGCTGTCTGCTTTAAAAGTGCAGTGAATATTGAGAACTCGATAATGTGTGGAATTAGTGGCAGCAATATTTAAAATATGGCTGATTGAGTTGGGTTATAAACGTAATCAAGGATACTGCAGAATGTAATTTTAAAGGCTGGTCAAACCGACTTCGTTTGTATTTGGTAATAATGATCAGGTTACAACAACCAAACAGGCTTGTCTGATTGAAGGTTTATACACAAGTACCAATGGTATTTACGATAATTTTATATTTTCAGTCATTGAAACCGCGGTTTATTTGTCTGAGAGAAGACAGAAATATCTGTTATTCACCTAACATTGTAAGCATGTTTAAATGCCCGGGCAGGACGTCTAGCATGCATACAGCATCTTGATTAAAAAATCTCATGACAGAGAAGTCGTAGGTAAGCATAGGTGAAAGAATAATATTAAAGTGAGAACGACGTAAATATGCTATGCTAATATGAACTGGAGCTGCTTGGTTAACTGAATAATTAGAAGTGCTTAAGAAATCCGAGTATTGTGGAATTAGATGGTTAATTCGTTTCTAAAATGTGTTTGTTTTAACTTATTACAAGTCGCAGACGACCCAATTTCCTGACCATAGGTAAATTGCTAAAAAAAGTTCTGCATTACAGGACTTCGGACTGATACAACAGAAAGTCTTGATTTCTAAGTGCCAATAAGCAAAATATGAACACTCTAAACGTACATATATATTTTTTCTTGGTACGCCAGTACTATTGAATTACGAAGACAGTTGCCACCTTCCCCGTGTTATTGGCTCTCTTATTGGTTAAACCAGTGTCTTTATTTCCACGCCCTTTCTTCTTTCGCTCTCCCCTCACCCGCCTGTATTCACTACAAATTCATGTGTCTGTTTCATTATAATGTGATGCCCTGTCCTTCAGTTTTCCTGCTTATAAAATATGAGAAACGCCCAGATTATTTCGTTTCAAAGAGGCATCCTTCATGTAGTATACGAATGGTCATAAACCCTACAACTCATTCGTTTATTTTCCACACTTATGTTCACACTTTTATGTTTCTTGTTATTGTAATTGTGTTTATTGAGAATTTTCATATTCCGACCATGTTATCGAAAGTGGCGGGAGAGCTGTTCGCACTCCTCATTCGTATTCGGAAGGTCCAGAATCTCAGCCTGGAACCGGCTAACCTGACAGATGTTCGCAGTTTCCTGCAGTCCAAACAGACAATTGTCGAAACAGTACATTTAGATCGTGGCTGTTTCTCACACACAGGTTCTAATTCAATGTTCATCAGTGTGTGGCAGGCAATCATTATTAAATTAACTAGACATTACGCTGAAACATTACCAGCAGAGTCAGAGAGCCTTATGTATTTAGTTTTAGAAATTGTCACGTAGCGTCAGTAGTCATAATCGCTTAGCGCGCCATCTTACAATTTATAGAACGAGCAGTGCTTACTTCTTGCCTTGCAGCGTGGTTACTGAAACTGCGACAGTGTGCTTCTGTTACAAAAATAAATGTGTAAACTGGTGTTTTCACACTGCCAGTGTTTCCATTCTAATAAATTAACAGACTATGGTGAGTTCGAAAAGCTGACGTTGAAGAGAAAACACAAATTTGCAATAGGACATTTAATAATTTTGAACCATAAGAACACTGTGATCATTATGACAGTGGCTTTTAATTTCACCTGTGGCAAATGTATATTTTATGTAAAATTTCGTGGGCACACATGACATCAGTGGCCCATCATTTTGAAGGATGGACTTTCTTTGTCTTCAGGCATAAAGGGAGGATTCCTAATATTGGATCTGGTAGAAGAAGGTATGTGACTGTTGTATAATCTTAGGGTAGAAAGGATGATGATTTGAGGTTCTCATGATGTCGAAGGTGTTACTGTTACTCTTGTGGGTTGTAATGCCATGTGGGTTTGTAGGTAGATATCACTGTTCCAGAGACAGTATGTTTCTCCAAACTACTGGTATCTGCTTACAACTTGGAACCCAGAAGACCAACATCAACAGGACAATGGCAATGCAGCATGGTGATTCACCTCACTTTATTTACTTAACCTTCTAAAATCCAATGGTAACTGTATGTTCCAATTGCTTCAACAATCAGGAACTCTTCATTTTATTTTTTATGGTTTCATATGATTATTTCCTTAAACAGCATTAACCAATTGATCTTTGAAGATAGCTGTCTTCTGGGTTGTAGCATCATGCATTCTGGTAACCTAAAAGATAACCATCTTCAGACTTATGACCATGAAAACCTCAAATCCTACAGTTGATCTCTGCAATGGTGAAGAGTTGTATTTTCTTTGTGGTACAGACTGGATTCCTGAATATTCAAATGATCTTTGGCTCCAAAGTATATTAATATATAATTATATAAGTAAGTAATAATACTTTTGCCTCCCACTAAATACATCAGTGCAATATATCATTTATTTACTGTGCATCACTTTCTATTTGAATGAACAATTTATCTTATGAAAAATCCTAAGGAACCATGTAATACTAATGAGTAGCTAACTATATCACCATTGATGATTACCGCATATTAATTTGTAAGTTGATCTGAAACATAAATCGTTGTCTCATCTTGTTACCTGCCCTAAGTTTCTCTTTCTGTCTTCACACTCATCTGTTACTTCATAAGAAACTAACTTTACAAGTCAACTTCACCTTCCTGATTACTTCAAAGCCATTATTAAAGCCTAAAAGCTTGCATTATCTTTGTCCACCAGTGCACATTTCCTCATTTCTTCTCTGTTATGTACGTATAAAACACAAAAGTTTGCAAAATGAATACACGTAAAATAGATGCGATAACTTCTATAATTGTTTCTCTATGCCTCTTCCAGTAGTGTATATAGGATTTTATATTTGGGAGAAGGAACCTTTGAAAATCAATTCACAATATCTACATTTTATTACAGAGATTCACAAGTCAATTACAGTACTGACATGAATGTTGGTCCTTGTATTATAATATCTTTCTTTTGTCCAAAAAGTAAAAAAATTCCTTTCATACTGTCCCACACATTTAAGGGAGAAGGATAAAGCCCGTCAACCTCTACTCTAAACACAGCCTTCACTGGTATGTGCATCCTAGTTTTTAAGTACATACATGCAGTATTTATATGTATATATATTCTTGCACATCTACTTCAATATCATATACATATGATTACATCTGTCATCAAGTTCACTAATTAAAAATACATAAAAGTTTACATAAGTATATTTATGCAGCAGACATGAAACATCATACAAACAAAATGGCTATAATAAATAAATTAAATCTGCAATATATGAGAAAACTGATCTTAATTTAACAATGAAAATGCTTGTTCAAAATGGTGTCAAGCATTCCAAGAAATGTGAATCACTAAACGCACATATTCAAAAAAATCATAGGTTCCATCAAGGGTACCCATGTCGTGTAACTAAGTTGCAATACTAATACTGATAAAACCCATATAATGGATAGAATTATTTATCCCAACTACTGTTTACCATGGACCTTCTGCTCTGGCTAAAATTCTAAATTACACACATATATTTTTTTAGTGTTATCTAATGTACTGAAGTTAAATACAGTGGCATTTCTGCAGTACAATCATTTAGGTGCAACAAGTGCTTTCTCCAAGCATGAAGCTGTCTTACATGCAAGAGATGTTTGCAACAAGATTTTAACTATGTGATTTCTTCAGGTGTAGAGCTATTACATGTTCAAGACACATTTGCAATGTGATTTTACAACAATTGACTGAGCTTCCTCCAAATGTCTGTATTTTCCAGGCGTGCTCAAGAATGGAAATCACTTTCAGGATTTTGTCATGTTTTGTCTGCATGGCAGAAAGGCGGAACTCCCAAATGAGGGGTGAGGCAGGGGAGTTGTGGTGGTGACAAGAATAATATACAGTGATGAAAAACGCACACAAGTATCCACGCTAATGCAGCATTTAAACCCACAAGTCTGGCTGCAAGCCTAGGACATGTGCAATTAGGATTGGCTAAATTTCTGATAAAATGGTCATAGGTCATCATAGGTACCTGGTTTTCTATGTAGATATTTAAAAAATTGGTCAGATTTGCAAAAGAAGATAATGTGTGAAGGAATGCTAATTAGTTCTGTTCATTATCACAGGGGGGCATGCAGCTTCCACATTTGGATGGTGATGCAATGTAATTTCTGTAAAATATGTTGAATGCTGACAAGAATTTAAGGAAGTAGCGTTGACCAGTCAGCATAAATATGAAAACATTTTTCTAACCAAAATTCACAGCCACTTCCTTCGACATATAATGAAACACGCACTGTTGAAGTGACATTCAATATGCTGTGTAACATTTAAATTTTTAAGAAATTATTTATCTCAGAAAGAAAATGATTGACACTGACCATATTTCTCAGAATTAGAATTTTCACTCTGAACATCATAATTATATTCATCAAATTTTCAGATGCACAACAGTAAATGACCGTTTCCCCCCCTCAAAGATGACTGTCTTCTTCATCCTTGCCAACATGACAACCTGAAATATCACCATTTCTCCCCACATCATCTTTGTACCTTATTACACTGCTACATCATATGCAATAACTGGAATGATCCTTTCATAAACATTAGTCTTCCCTCTTTTTCACAAATCTGTAGGTTTCAATGAGCAAGACTTTTCATGCTTGTTACTTAATGCAGAGAAGTGCAGATACATTTGTTAGGATACCATTTGATAACAGTTTTGTAATTGGTTAATTCACTACTGTCATACAAACTTTAAGAAATATTTGGTACACATTTCATTTAATGTCTTTATCTGGCATCCCACCAGCGAGGTCAGTAGGCGTTTTCAAAATTATCTTGGAAACAAGTCATAATGTGAGATTCAATTAATTCATTAACTGAAAAAGTTAACTTAGTTCACATGTTGCTATAGACATTTTGAAAAAACTATTATCTGTGAACTTAACCTTTATCATACAAGAATATAGTACTTAAAACCCCATACTATGGAGCAGTCAGCTGGACTTTAAACTCTGTTTAATGTTACTGTGATCTGCAGGCAGTTTGATCACACATTCACTATTACACATGGCCGATAAGAGTTAGTGCACCATTATCACAAAAACATGTTAACACGGGGCAGAAGTATAACAGCCAGTGTAATGACAATTTACCCACTGGGGCTGAATTCACATTTTGAAAGTAAAGTGTAAAATTATTAAGTGAAGGAGCTGTTATTCTTCTTGATGCTAGTTTGATCATAACCTTGGCGACCTCAAATCACAGAAGGTTTTTAAATCCTGTCCACACAGATTTTATTGCTAACAAGACATTAAGTGAAATTTAAAGGTTTCTGATGACACTGTAACATAACATGTATATTTGTTCTTTTGGAATTAATGAGATTAGCTTGACCATGGAGCCTAATTAAGTAGTTCTGCCCTCCCACCTGCAGACAAAAGCAAAGCCAGCATCCAAAATATTGTAGTTTTAATTAAAGGACACTTATACAATTGACAGAGCCCAAGAGAAATAATCATACAGATTAAGCTAGTAACATATACTATGCTGCACTTAAAGTTATCTGTATTTCACCTTGAATTTGCTCAAGATAATATGAACAACCCTATACCTTGTTTTGATGTTACTTTTCTTCAACACTGCTTGAATTTTCCTTTACATTAAATGTATTTTTTATAAAATGTAAACACCTGCATAAACCTCATACCCTGTAATCTGAAGTTCACTGTTAACATTATATAGCGACAGATTTTTAAATCAGATGACATATCCAATATTCTTTAAATATCACATAGGTTACTGCAACATTCACATTATAATTGTATATTCCAGTTATCAGGAAGAGTATGCCTTAATTTGTTAACCTTATGAAAGACTCTTAATTCTAATTATAACAAAAGGCAAGTAGTGGTACAAATCTATTCTAAATAAAAGGTGGTCAAACCATGAAACCATCTTCTTAGTTATGAAAAAGGTAAATGCTTCAAAGTGTGCTGAAATACGATGGCTGTGTAGGTAAAAATACAGAGGAGTTATAATTTGTTTTATATAAGAAAGCTGCATTATAAATATTGTAGCTTAAATGTATTTTATATAAATTAAATCGAGACTTTGCCGCAGTTGTTTCCCTTAACCCATTTGTAACAAATTTTGGCCATGGTGCCCACATAAATACTATGTTTATAACACTGGGAAAAGCTGTTTCTGAAAAGATTTGATGTTAAATTAAATCAGACTTTTTTTTAATGAAGACATTTTTCATTCAGTCTTGTATTATTTTTATTATGAGTTTTTTATTGCTATTAAAAATGAGTCAAAAGCAAATTTTTGTAAACTTACTATTTTACACAAGAAAATAGTTTTCTGCCTGCAGGAAGCAGATTTCTTTATTTTCACATCAAACCATGTTAACAGTTTTTCAATTTTTGAAGCAATTATGTGAAATATAAAAACACACCTTCGAAAGATTCTACATGTTGCAGGCAGTTCAAGGGGCAAAGTGATTTGATTGCAAATGGGTTAACCTGCATCAGAAAGGAAACCTGAGGATATACAATTCTTTATGTTTCGCAGCATTTTCTCTTGGAAAGTTATACCCAAAGACTGGGCCACAATATGCCAAACAAGCAGTGGAAATGTTAAGATCTTATATATCATATGAGTCATGGTTTCGGCAGCTCAATTAATGAAGCTACCCCCTCTCCACCTTTTCCTGGTAAGTGGTGTACACTTAAAAGATAGCCCTTGCTACACAAAACCCCGCGGCACTTTACGTGTACTTGAAACCTCAGTGCCCAGTGCAGTTCAACTGAATTAAAGCCATTGTCAACTTTCGATCCAAATACTTCATTCAGGGCTGCCCGTGGTAGAATTTCTATAAAAGAAAAATTAAGTATGGCAGATAATACAATGTAGGATATGCATTACATATGATTTCTCAGATGTAGTGGTAGTTCTCAAATCCCAACATTAGCATCACATATATTCTTACTGGTGACAGCTGCTTTAAACTGTACAGATTACACTTTATTCGCAATGGAAGGAAGGCGTAAGTTTTATATTAGTTCACTGAACCACATGTGACAAGTATGTAACAATACATATAGATTAACTCACCTCGGTCTTCTTCATAGTTTCCTTATAGTTTGAGTTAAAGTAAGAAAGAAGACAAACAGTTAACTTTAAGAAAATATATATCAATCATTTACTGAATTAATAGGAAATTCAATTAAAGTGTTGTGCAGAAAACTGTTTCACCAACTTTGACATCCTATAATACCACATAATTTAGTCAGTCACATTGGTTAAATAATAATATCCATAGTAAATTTGAAAAACTAAGGAAAAATGTGTTGGCAATTACAGACTAAAGACTCTGTATTCTAATTTCATTGCATTCAGAAATGGCAAGAAAAATAACTTACCAAAAGGATCGCTGTGTGTTAGAAGCTGAACATCATGTTCTTTAGTGAAAGCTTGGAGTGCTGGCGGTACTACGCAACAACTTGCCAAGTTGATTTGAATAATACTTGGCTTTATCTAAAAAAATTCAAGACATAATAAACTTTTATAATAAAAAATGTGTGGCATTGCAGTTTCATTGGAATTAATGAGTACTTAATTGGATAACTATTGTAATAAAAATACTAATTATATTGTCTTGAATTTAGTACGCTGCTTGTCTAGATGTAATTTTTTAATGTATGTATTTTATGTTTTTATACTTGAGTTTGTGACGTGTTCTATATCTACTATTGGATTCTTGGAACTTGTAAATAAAATAAAAATAAATAAAAATAAATAAATAATACATTGAAAGAAGAGTTTATTAAATACATGTCACTGCAAAATTAACAAAGAGCTAGTATGTATATTACTTCAACATATATTGTACTCCGCATAATGGCAATATACAAACATAGTGAACAGTCTTCATTTATTTGCCATCATGTTATGCTCAGAGCAATTCAACTATGCTGAAAGTTTAATCACCAGTACATTTACTTTTCTGTTGTTTGTATTCAAAGTCAGCTGCATTTTATCTCCATGACAGAAATTTGACTATTGAGTACTTTTTAAAACTTCTAGCAAACAGTTTATACAGAGTATCAGTAACATACCCGAGCCCAACCGTGCAATGCTATGAAGGCGTCTGTCTCAACATCACTGACACCAATGCTGATTAGCTTTTGATGCTCCACATACTCTTCCAGTACCTGCCACAGCTCCTTAAGACCAGGCAGAAGGAGGCTAGGCTCTGTTTTCCAAGGGTATGCAAGAACCAGCGAATCAATGCACGATGTATGAAGTGCAGTAAACACTGCAATCAAAATTTCAAATAAGTAAAATACTAGTCAAGTTCATTCAATTTCAAATTACACTACCTTACCACACCTTACTGTTAATGGCAACAGTGATGCTACCTGCTAACTTAGGTGATACGGTGGTCACTTAAATGGCCATGTAGTTTGGAATATAATAATTAGATGAATTGTAATGGATTGTAAGGAAACAGGTTATGGGATATAGAATGGATTAAACTGACTTAGGACAATGTCCAATGGCAGAATTTAGTAAATGCAAAATTAATATTATGTTCCTTTTATCAGTCAGTATTTATGATCAGATGTACTCTTACCACTATCAAGAGCTTCTATCAGAGCTTCTTTCTTTAGAGATGATATAAAAACCTTCACACTAACTTTTAACCCTCTTCTTTCTTCTGAATCAAGTTTGAATCCCAGCCCATCTTCCATCCGATAAACCTGTAAGTAAAGACAATCCTATTAACACACTCACATACACTGATGGCCACGAGACATCCTCCTATTTGGGTATATTGGCTAGTTTTACTGATGTAAAATGTCACTGTACAAAAGTCAAAATGAGCTACTTACAACATGAGGTATAGTTGTACAGAGGTTCTGTGATAAATGTTAGTCATTTATTTTGAAATCTATTAATTAATTTTATGCAGATATATTTGGGTATACAAAATAAAATGGTATGCTACTAAGTTGAAATATGCTTCATAACTTATGAAGAAATGAGTTTCAGGTAGATACAAAACTAAATTGATTAAATAAAATAAATCTAGAAAAACTAATATAAATCAATAGACTACAACAAAACCAAACTTCATTAGGTACTCATTCTCATATTTTTAAGCTGGTACCAAAATTATGCTTATGGTGTCTGAGTGCTACAGCTAGTATCTTATACCATTCCTGCAATCACTTGTTGGAAAGCCTGTCACCATGAATGAAAACTGTCAGTTTTGAGCATGGTGTGGTGAGCAAATTTATTACCACTATATCTGTATTACTTTGGGGAGAAAAGTAATAAATTATCCTAAGTAGACAACTGTTAAATTTGTAAAATAGGAGGAAACTTGACAAAATTCAACTTAAACTTCCAAACTCTATCATCATTATATGCACCCTGCCTTCAAGAACTACAGTGCAACACATATGACTTATGACTTACTCGAATAGTATCACCCTCATTGCTGGATGGCTGCCAACTAGCTAGTGTGATCCTCAAACTTTCTATGAGCTGAAAAATGTTTCATAAAATTAGTACAGAAATGAAACAACAATCAGTCATCAGTAATGAAAAGACTAGAATGAGGGCAGTTCAGCATAACGTTCTATAAAGAGATTATTATTAATACAGGTACAGGTACCATACATTTTATAGAGCTGTCAAGTTATGATCACAAACGTAACCATACACCAAAGTGCAGACTCATTTCGTCCTTGAGTAATCGATCAAATGACAATTGCAAAAACGTCTTAAAATATTTCCTTATTTTAAACTTAATTGAGTTTAGATCAGCAGCCCTTACTTCATCTGTAGGATTCTGCCCCGCTTTTTTCTTTACTTCGTTCAAATTAAGTATATTCCCGGTGTGAACGCAAATTTTCTTCACACTTGGAGGTAGGTGGCTCAACATTCCTATGTAGCTATTCCGTCTAAACTTCGGCACCAGTTTTTATACGTCTTACGGTAATGCTCTTCGCTGTACTGAAACGCTACTAATGAAATGAGAGACCACCTGTCAAACTATATAAACCCTTTTCAATGTATTTATACTGAACACACTTCGCGCATGTTGTACTCTTCTATTTTTGATATGACTGTACTACGATATAATATCGATAAGTCCTAATGATGCAACGCTGCAAGTATAATAAAAACGAAAGAATATATACTATACTATAGTGACATATTAACTACGTTGGTGTATTTGAAAATTAATGATATTTTACTGTGTTTTGTACGTTTACTCTAATTTAAAAGTGTGTTGAATATATGTTTTGAAAGTATTACATAGCTTCTCATCCTTATGTCGACCCCTTATCGAAAATCGTTTTGTACATGAGCGTACGAGGAAATCCTTCAAGACTATCGATTTTAACTATCGTTATGATCGAATACAATAAACCTTCAAGTCATTCCGTCTGCGAAAGTTGTTTTCTCCGTTCAAAATATTCGGTTGATAAAGCGTGGAAGCTAGGGTGGTGTCAGGTTTTAGTTGTTTTTGTTGATAAAGGAAGACTTTAACCATGCCTATTGATTTCTTAAGTTTTGCTTATGCTGCTACCGTAGCAACTGGTGGCATTGTGGGATATGCGAGAGCTGGTAAGGTTAATTTCAAATCATGAATTACTAATTTCTTTTAAACATTTTCAAGTGTGTTACAGAGGAAGAAAATGGTGTGTTAAGTTTGTAATGGTTCTCTAATTTTTAATTGTTGGTTAGCATCTATAAGGCTTTTAAGTCATCGGACTACAGAGATTAGCTACTTAATGCCGAGTGTGACATAAGAATTGCGAATGATAGGAAGAAGTCGCATGTTTTTGAGATTTTCGGAATTCGTTTGAAATAAAGTAAGTCATAAAATTTCTAGTCTGGATTTCTTGGCCTCTATTGGGATTGTTACCGGTTGCTTCCAGAACACCGTTCAACACTGCACAATTTTATAATACTAGACATACTTTCAACTGTTCTTGTTTAGAACCAGAAGTATATGCAAGGAAGAAATACAAAATATTATTATGGTGACTTTAAGATATATATGTATAGTATTGTCATTCTTTCTGTTCATATAAATGAAATTTAAATGTGATTCATATGCTCCATGCTGAATTGTGTGTTTTTAATGCCCTTTATGATAGATATCTGTGTATGAGAAATGTTAAACAAAATTATAGACTTCAGTGATTTGTGACATTGGTAGATTTCAAAATACAGAAATTGTAGAACCACACAGAATTTCACTGCATTACACTATTCTCATATTTGTGGGATCAAGATGAATTTTGCTGGCTGTCATGTTACAAATAGAAATTCCTGTCAGTAATCAAACACCAGTCTTCTGTCTATCTCTGAGGTACCAAATTATTAATATGTAAATCCTGCTAACCTGTCATTGTGGATGGAAATGAAGATTTCTGTCTTCTGGGTTGGATGGAAATGTTTAACAAAGATAGGAACAAGTTTTTTCCAAAATGTACTGTATAGTCAATCCCTGCAGCATAATTGAAACTGAACATACTGAATTAGAATGACTACTGTCATATTAAACAATACTTTAGAGGCCATTTAACTGAAATGTTCCTCCTATATCAGCATGAGCTACAGTTAAACAGTTTAGTAGGTTAATGAAAAATTATTACAAATTGAGTGGTTGATGGACTGATTTATATTTTATTAGTTAAATGAAAGAATATTGCTAAACTGTGTTTCAATCCAAGCCCTACATATAACATCTGTACCTGTTTGTAGGTACTGAAGAGAATATGGAATAAATCTAAACTTTAAGATAAGTACTGTATTTGGCATTGAGTTTCTTTTTTTAAGTATTATGAGTCATCATCCACTTCTGTGGAGCAGTTGTGTGTTAAACTTGATGAGTCACTGCTTATTATTGCAAAGTCATGGTTCATTACAACATTTATATCGCCATGTTGCTAGCAGTTGTGAAATCACCGCAGAAAAATTGTGTTTGAAATTGAGGAAATTCATTCTAGAGTTTAAGTACAGCTTTGTCTTCAAGTTCTCTTCTTCTGCTTATCTTACTGGATTAGACAGCACAATTATCTTCATGGAGCAGAGTCCTTGATGAGCTAACAGTTGCTCAGCTAGTAAAATTTCCTAGAATCATGTAAGATAGGCTTCAAAATGATGTTTTGTAGTAATATAAAATAACATGGTGGCTGTGTGAAAATTTTTATTTGGCTTTTGGTTGACAATGACTGATGGATGATTGGAAATAAGGACAAAAAAATTCTGTATGAAGATAGATTATAACATTTCTAGAAAACTTATGGTGCAACATCCCAGAAGACAGTCATTTTGAAACATTGCAATGATTTGCAATATTAAGGCTATATCCATAAAATCTACATTTAAATAGTAAGTTTGTTGCAAGAAAAAATAGTACTGCTGTTGATAATAGCAATAATAGTGTGTAATGCACAATTGACATGGACATGTATTTACAATTTCAAGCAGTAAATAAAAGTTGACTGGTAGGATTTGGTCTTGAGGACATCTATACATGAATCAAAATGTAACCTATGAGTTATATTGAATTTCATTGTCTGATTATTATCTTACAGTACATAACATTTGATTTGTAAGACTGAAAATCTGTGCCATGAGAAAAGAGGCTTTATGGGTTTTGCCTAGAACTTGTTGTTTTCATCATTATTTATGTAATTAAGTTATTTTGAGAAAAGAGTTATTTTACAGGTAGTGTACCTTCTTTGGGTGCTGGCTTATTGTTTGGAAGTATACTGTGTTATGGAGCATACCAAACATCACAAAATCCTAACAACTTTATGTTGCTACTTGGTACCAGTGCTGCATTAGGAGGTCTCATGGGTTTCAGATTTTATAATTCTGGGAAATTTATGCCTGCTGGACTAGTCACAATTTTAAGGTAAGACATGGTGTTATTCACTTTACAGACAGTCATTAACCTGTTATAGTAAAATTGTTGTCATTTTCTGTAGTATCCTATTGGTGTCTACTCATCTTTCCTGATTCATCTAAATCTCACACATGTAGAATGAATGTTTTGTTAGGTTTTTTAACTACCTATGATCAACAGTACATGCATAACTATCAGTGGGAACAACATTAGCACCATTGAACATATGACCTGAAGTTTTGTATGTGATAGATTTTTAGAAAGTATGCATCATTTGTGAAGAGTACTGTTTTATGAAAATGGAAACCAAAAATATGGTGGCGTTGCAAACAATTTTATTTATTTGTGATTTATGTAATGATGCTGTCAGTAGCTTAGACTATGTAGTATCAGATGGTAAGGTAATTAATGATTGGAAAGGATGTGGAAATAAGTGGTCATGACATGGAAGGATGGAGGAAAACCATGAATAGCCTCAGAATGGCTGGTCTCCAGGCCATTGTTTGGGCTTGAGATCTGGATACAAAGCTGGGGTAGCTAACCACGTGGCATAACCTACAGTTGAAAACTATTTAATTCAGGGATAGTAATTGGTAGCTAACAGTTAAAAACTGCTGTTTCATTCTTTACAATAAAACACTAACTTGTGGCTTGAATTGCAACAAATCTGATGGAACGTTGTAGTAAAAACTGTAAAATTAATATATTTTCTACATGCGAAGTACTCTTAGGTGTATAGTATATGTATATATAAACATATAGTTAGGATTTGAAAGGGCTGACGTTGATTCTACAGAATCTCACTAAGAACCGGTCTGTCAGTATCCCTACCCTCACATCACATGACACAACACAGTTTCAACTTCTGCACTTGAGGTCATGTGTTTTCTTACAGTGATGTATACACCAGTAAGCATGGAGAATTTTAAATTTCCTGAGTACTTATGGACATATTTTTGTTTTGGCACTATTTTTAATTTTATGTCCCCAATTTTTAGTATGGCATTCTGAAATTGAGCATACTGAATATGACCAAACCAAAGAGTTTTATGTAGGGATCAGTGAATTACACATACAGCATCATATGCAAGTGTGGAAGGAGATCTATAGGAGATACAGGAAGACCACTTCAAAGCCAAATTATTGAACATAACTGCAATGCAGAAAATGGGAGGACATCCAGGTCCACTCCTGTAATGCGGACCATTGAACACACTGGGATGAAGCAGAAATCATCCAAAAGGAAGAAATCAGGATCACTGAGAAAGTGAAGGAGTTGCTATTTCTTAGAACAGTAGAACAGGCCATCAGTCAGCAAAGGCTGTGAGTGACTCCCAGTACTACAAGATATAAAGAAAATGCATACGTAACAAAGAGTTTGAAGGTTCTTTTGACATTGAAACTGCTGATTGTGGTTTCCTGGTTTGTGACACCGTGTAGTATTTTAGGTGGTTACTGTTGTTTTGGATGTAATACATTCTCTTCATACATTGATAATTACCTTAAAGACCACAAGGTGTCACTATCCATATCACAATTGACACATGAGTAGATTTATAACAACCATTCCTGGGCTATCTCATTGGTGTGCTAGCATTGTAGCTGTTGGATAGAACTGAGGTTCAATGCAATTATTACTTCTGTTCTGAAAATTATTAAAAGATAATGAAATATCTGTCAATATGGTAATCACATATACGAACCAACTCTCAAAATATCATGTATATAAAATGTACCTGAGACAGTGGACAATGGATAATATTGATATTTTGTCACACAGTACAAAATTTCTTTCTTTTTCTTCCAGTGTTGGAATGGTTTTGAGGTTTGCAGCAAGAAGTGCTGGCCTTATTCAGGCAAAACCGATTGAGTAGAGACTTTTTCATTCATCTGTCTGTTCAGTTTAGTAATGTGGAGATATATTTAATTCCAGTGAAATATATATATGAGATTTTCTACATACACTTCCCTCAAAATAAAATAAGAAATTTACTCTTATCAGTGTGTGTTGAATTTATTTGCCCCTTGTCATTCCTTTTGCTCCTCTGCCAATAAGCACGTGCTTAATTAAAATAATTTCTTCATCACTCTTCAATGTGTTTTGTGTCATCAGTCTCTGTGAAATATTTATATTAAGAGATTTTTTGGAGGTTGTCCATTTCCCATTAGTGAGGTCATTTTAATTCCATCCAAAAACACCAGTCCTGACATGAAATTTTCCACTGTATAGAACTGTAAGACCTCAGTGTTTTCCTCCAAAAACCATATAAAGAAGTCATCCAAATGAACCACATATATCATCATACTTCCCAAAGTGTTATATTCTTGTGGTGCTATTAAACAAATTTGCAGAATAAGCATGGAGCAGGGTGTTTTCTTGATAATCTACAAGAATATGACTGATAATAGAATTGATACATGTCATACAATAGTAGTAGGAATAATATTGTGATTAAGAACACAAGAGCTACTAATTGTAATATAAAAGTGCTTAATCATCACCAGAAGTGCCTGCTTGACAATCAGAGCCATATTAACCCAGTTCACATCTTCACAGTCTATTTGTTTAGGATGCATATTAATATTATTCTCCCATCTGCATCTAGATCAGTTAGGTTTTCTCTGTATTTGAAATCTTTCTTATCTTTTCCATCTGATTATTCTTGACTCAATCACTGTAATAAATATAGACTCTGTAAAGTATGCTTTTCTCTGTCATCCATAAGACCCTAAGGATTGAACATGATCTGACTATGCTATAAGAGACAAATAGTCATTAAAGTGAATGGCTGTGAACTGGACAGCTAGGGTCTGATTCCTGGCAGGTACAGGAATTTTTGTCTTCACATTAGACCAGAGCCTAACCAGTTTCCTACCCAGTGTGTACCAGTGGCTGTATCCCTGAGGGTAAAGTGTTTGTGAAGTTAGCTACTGATCCCCAACTGATACTGCTGTTAATGCTTGTAGCATTGTGCCCCCTATATGCCTTTGCCGTGTGCTGCTAGGACACAGGGTTGCCTTTACCATTACATAATCATGCTAAAAAGGACGGCTATATATACCTGCTGTGTGCATTGACAGGGCTTTAATAGTGCTCTTAACCTTGATAAACTCTGTCATGGTTTACATGTGGTTCAACTGGCCATGTGGCGCAGTTGCATGCTATTAAATAGTTAATCCCAAGTTACAGTCCAGCTGGTAGCCATTTTATGCAGGGGTTTATATCCTGTATCCCTTTACAATAAAGTTTAAAGGGAATTAAAATTATTAATAACAGGACAGTTATAAAATATAAACTAGACAAATGCTCAAGATATTAAATAGCTTTCATTGCATACATCACTAATCATATTTCATATGATAAGCCAGTATATGAAGTATTATGTTTACAGATCTCTGAATTACAGTTTGCTGTGTCTACAGAGCCATGAAGTGCATTTTTAAATTCAGATTTGCATAACTGTCCTGTCTTCACTGTGATGGAGTTGTGACAGGAAATGAATTTAAACACATTTCAAATTATTTCATTATATTGAAGATTTGTTTTTAATTTCATGGGAACAATTTAATGAAACTTGCAATATGCGTAGTAAGATGACAGCATGGTGCACTGAAAAGTCATTTGTGTGAAATTTAATTGTGAAAAGTGTATAGGAACTTAAAAAGAAAAATAATTAGATATGTAAATTTTCAAGTACAGTCTTCTCTACTTGAAATTTAGAAGAATGATAGATTCATTTACATAGTGCATAGTGCAAGAGGGTTTTTTTTACAGCAAGTTGAAATAACTTATTTATACACAGGTAGCAGAATTGGAGCATTTCAGTGTACTAAAAAGTTGTGTCACTGTAGCATTCTAAAAATTCTCCGTTACTCCAGAATTTTCTTTTCATATTTTGAAACATCCATAATTTCTTTGTTTTCTAGCTCAATCTATTAATAGAAACCCAAGCTAATAATAAGATCCATAAATACCTTACAGCAATATTTGAAACATGAATATTTACACACACATACTCACACACATATGCATACAAAATTTATAGCATTACACATATAACTTTAATGAATTTCAAGTGTTTAATTGGTTTAATTATTGTAACTTATGCTTCTTCAGCAAGGAACAGAAAAACAACGCTCTGAAAAAGTCAGCATTTTTCAGTTTTGGAGTTCGATCACAAGTATGTGCAGTAAATTATTGCTCATATGATTTGGCTTTCTTAATTTTTTCCTGTGTGTGTAATCCCATAGAATTAATTGGAATTCTGATTGTTTTGTGTCTATTATTAATCTTACAAGGAACATTTTTACATACCTTATTAAAAAATGGGGATTTGGTGTTGAATGGTAATTGTAGATTATATTTAGCAGTATGTGTTGGTTATTAAATTATAATGATTTTACTAATGGTCTGTAGTTAAATTATATTGTTTCCTTATAGATAATTTATTTTCAATTTTATTTCCTGTCAAAATCATTAAAGTGTTGAAGTTACTATAGGGGGAAAGAATGATAAATAATTTAAAAGAGATGTTTTTACTGCCTAGATGGTTTTTTATCTTGCTATTTGCAACTCAATTCTATCATGCTTCAACTTCACTCTCTTCCTACTTTTAAGAAAATCAAAGAATTTTTATGACGTATGTGGTTACTGTTCTGACACGTAATTTTTACATATTTATATTTGCCTACACTAACACAAAGACATTGTGTGTTGAGCTGCTTATCAGAAGGAGCAATTGATGTGTCATGTGATACCAAAAGATTATGAATATGAGAGTAATGATGTTACATAACATTTGTATTACATACAGGAAATAGTGACACAGCAGTAACATTGTTTCTTTATCTTATAAATGTTCCTTGTGATGCTAATGGAATAACGTTAAAGTCACAAAACTTGTTTAATTTCAATTTTTCAGCAGTTGTCTGGCGCTGGTGAAACTAACTTGGTGTCAGTGGATATGTGATAAGTTAATGTTTCTACTATCACAGTTGCATATTGAATGCTATGTTAAATTAAATTCTGTATTTGAAAGCTTCTTGAATTATTTTAGTGTCTTGATCATTTTTAGGGAAGCCAACTGGGAACTGTCTCATACATTGAGATCATATTAGTCTGCCAGTTCCACACATTGCATATTATCTTCAAGTGAACTTTTCCCCCAAAGTATCTTGCCTTTTTTTCTTAATGCTGTAAATATTTCTTTTATCCCCATCTTCATTGGTGAAATTTGACAAACTCCAATGCATGTAAGATGTTCACGGGTCTTCTGTAGTTAAGTACATTGGCTCAAATTCATATGAGGATGTGGTGGGTTCTTTAGAATTCTTCTGAGTATTCTTCTTGTGAATGTGTTTCTTTAGATATTTTATACATGAAACTTTGTGTTTGAACACAAGATGTCAACTTCACTCTACAGGATAATGATTTGGCATCATTGTATCACATCTGTGTTTTATAACAAAGTCTTGGCAGGAATGAATGTCTTATACCAATAAACATGCATAATATTTTTGGATAACTCATGGCGTGAACTGTTTGTGAAGATCCACTCATTGAGATTACTAAAATTATTCCATCATCAGGCAAATACTTGACTACAGTTACATGATTCAAGATAAAAATTACAGCTCAGGCACATGTGTGAAACCTGTGATGGCAAGTTTTTTACCTCGTTGAGTGCCTTCATAATTTATCACCCAGAATTACGAGGATCTGGTGGTTTCTAGACATATTGCTGATAATGGTGATAACCACAGGCATGCAAGATTAAGGGTTCAGTCTTGCTGGTGAGTGGCAGCAGATGCACAGACAGCTCTCTGTGATGCACAGCAGTTACGCTGCATGTACTTGTATGAACAGTACTGGAAGCCATAGTGAGTAAGGAACTCCCGACAGGTCATGCTTCCTCTAATGTTGGCTATTCTGTCGATACACCCGTCAATGTCTCCCACTGCAAAATAGCACCATATAATAATGTGAAGGAAGTATTGCTTGCAATATTTTAGTGTTTCTAAGAAAGCTTATGTCAAGATATTTAATTCTGAATGGAAGTTTTGGATCATCAAAAATTGTATATTACATAGAAAGTTTGTGAACTGAGAAATTTTGCTTGATAGTTACAAAGTTATGGCATTGCTGGAGATGCTGAAAATTTGTGATCACCTATGAGACTAGAGCAGTTCTATCGTAGGTAGGGCAGAATGAGGCTTTATCAGAGAAAAATGTTTACATTCTTGATTACCATTAAAATGATTCCAGGATCATATAGCAATTTTTTTTCTTGTCATTGATTTTTTACTGCCAGTTCTTGGAAAATAGTTTCATCAATCTTAACAATGTTTTTATTATCCTCTTTAGAGTTTCTTTTGAAATACCTTTTCAGTGAGTCAGCATAAACTCGTCTAGAAATTGTATGATTGGATAAGTGGTAACAAGGAGCTCTTCCTCAGATGGAAGAGTTTTTAATATTTTTACAGACTTTCCTGCTCTGCTTTGTTAAAAAAGCTGAAAATCTGAAAACAAGGTTTCTTATGCATATGTTTTGTAGTCAAAAAGCTGAAAATCTGAAAACAAAGGTTTCTTATGCATATGTTTTGTAGTGTTTGATTCTTGACTATCTTAACATGGAAATCTTCTCATATCAGTTTAGCACATTTATCTGCATAGTAAACGGCAGCATATACAAGTGTTTTTATAAACTGCTGATGTAATTATGCATATAATGCCTAAATTCCTATAAATAACCAGACTGTACACTGCAGTATTTAGAAACCTGTAACTGACTTAGGCTTTGCTCTTAAAAGAATGAGAAGTTTAAGAGCAAATTTTGTAGCGTAGATTTTGTTTATTTTTCATAACTAAATTCTCTCAGAAGGAGAACTTAATTTTGAGACATGTTTAACTTCTATAGTGGACATAAGTGACGGCATTAATACCTGGCTTGTAGCTGTGTTTAAATTTGTTTCTTAAATGCTTTATAAGACTATTTTGCATACTTACATACCACTATAACTGAAATGCATAACTATTTGAAAAACCCATATACTCATAAAGCACAAATACCAAAACCAAGCAGCTATTTACAGTAGTATTGAGCAACCAGTAATATTTATATGTACATATGTTTATTCATATACACAGTAATGCTTTTAAAATTGAACATAGCCCAGGTGAGTTAATTTTCTCTTTTCTTGTCAGAGATTTGAGGCTGTCATGATGGTGAAGATGGTTTGAAAGTTTCGACCCTGTTCATATATATATATACAAAGAGACATTGAAAATTAAACTCAGGTTTAAAGGACTGACTTTTAATTTCAGTATTTTACCTTCTTTTCTATACACATAGCACAATTCTTTAGACATTTACAGCATTTTATTTGAGCAGTTGCTTAGCCAGTTGGAGGTCAGCATGCACTGAGTCGTGCATTAACATGAACAGACATTGCTTTCACAATAAATCTGCAGTTAATATCTGTGCTTGTGACCAGTCAACTGTGAGGATTGTTTGTATTCATATATGATCATTTAGAGATGTGATACTGAACAAACATATTTCTTGGAGATTAGTTTTATGGAGTTTCATCAGGACATTGCAAAAGAGTGCATGCACTCACACACACCACAGAAAATTTGTTACAGGCTGTATGCACTGTTTTCAGTGAGCAAATGATCACCACATGGCCATCACATTTTTATGGTCTGAAATTATGATTTCAATTTCTGTGGAAATTATAAAAAAGAAAGTTACAGAAATAATCCACACTCTTTGGAAACTTCACAGATCAAAATCCAGAATGTTATTCTAAAAGTCACAGAAGATGAACTTCTACTTATGTCATAGAATTTGTTATGTATATCTGAAATGTACGAGGTCATCATAATATCAGGTAAGTGATGTGAAATGTACTGAGATGGTTGAGGTCATCATAATATCAGGTAAGTGATCTAGTTTTATTGTAAACAATTTTTTAACATGGCTGAACCTGTGCAGTGGTGGGTGATTTTGTTATGTGAGAGAACCCACTCACCAGTCAGCATCTTATTGTGAACAGGCAGTAATAAGGCTAGAATAGAAAAATTGAATTATTATATAGGTTAGTAGGTCTCTTTCATATGTTTATGAGCTAAAATTAGTAAGCTTATTCCATATGAAACTTCCAGACACATTCATGCATTGTTTTGGGTTTAGAGGTATCAGATATCTGTACCTTGTCTTCTTGTGTGATGGTGATGTTGAGTGTTCCAGCTGATGAAAGAAAGCAGAATTGAATAGATCCATTGTACCTTGTTAAAAACATGGGGTCTTTAAGATGTACACATGGCCTTAAAATGTGTGATGGTAATGTGTATTATTAAGTGGTAATGTCACTAGCAAGAATGTAGATTTATTTGAGAGACAGTTTAATGTGAAGTTGTTAATTTGAGTTTTAATTATCAAAAGATATGTAAAAAAGTGTTTTATCATTTTATTTATCTGTTTTTAGAAAAGTGAGATTTTGTTTCAATGAATTTAAAGTATACAATGTATACGGAAAGTGAAGATTTAAAATATCGTGATTATTTTTAAAGGAAACTGCAAATATTTTAAGAAACAAAGGATGATTGCTTTTATGTAGAATTAAATGAAGCAGTTTTATGGGAAACAGAAATGTGTATTTGCAGCAGCTTCATTAATGAACATACTTACCATTAGAAACTGATGCTTCTATATTCATGTTGATAATAGACGGTGAATTTTGTGATGCTGAAGAAATGTAATTGGGTAGGATTTTGTTTGTTGTGGTTGTTGATGGGGTTGTAAATGCATTATAATTATTATTTAATAGTTTATAGACAGAGTTAGATGTATGCTCAGGTTTAGCAGTTGTTGAATAATAATTGAATCCTACAAATGGATTTTTTGTTGTGCTGCTTGAGTAATATTGGTTGTAGTTATGGAAAATTTTTACTGGTTCAGGAGTCTGACTGTTGGCATTGCTTTTGGTTGTGTAATGATTAAGGTTACCAAAATCATAAGGATTCTTTGTTGTTGTGTATTTGTTGTTGCTGAAGTCGTACAGATTCCTTGTTGTGGAGTAAGAGGCAAATATGTTGAAACTTAGTGGATTTTTTGTTGTTGAATATTGATTGTTGTTGAATGAGTAAGGGTTTTTAGTTGTGCTTGAATAGAAGTAGCTTGTTGATTGTGTGTAATGTTGGTTGAATGTGTGGGGATTTTTTGTTGTGTTGTATGTGCTGTCAAAATATGAATTATCTTTATTGTAATAATTATTTATATATTTATTAGGATTTGGTGAGGGAGTGGGTGTAGTTGTGCTTCCTTTACTCCAGTATTCATCCAATGGTGACCTGTGCATGAGTGATTCATCACACATTATTCCATACATCTTTCTATCAAACAATATATACAGTCAGATTCATTTCATGTTGAATGGCACAAGCATTAAAAAATTAAGGTTTAATTTTGAGAGATATTTTGACAAATATGTTTTAACTACAGTAGGTTATTGTGGTCATGGTATCAAGAGAACAGTAAAAACAAATAATTCCTTTCATGTGTCCATAAAATTCTACTTTAACTGATATACAGCGTTGTGGAATGTATTGAAATGGTCTTGTAGAAAATGATTTCAAAATTACATGATATTCCTTAAAATCTATCTTCATTTTGCTAATTTTATCATTGTCTTCTTTCTAAGTTCTTATGCAAGTTCATTATTTCCCAAAGTATTTACACATTCAGCAAAATAAGCTTTGTTTTGTAAATGCACATGCACACCCATCCACACATACATAAACACACTGTGCACTGAACACTTTTACAAATTATTTGCAAGACAGAAATTGAACTACGTGCATGCAAAATTGCTTACAGCACATAGTTAAGTTTCTAAATTCCCATCACCTTCCATTAATACTATAGAATACAAAAACTCCAACCTATCACCACTTTTACAAACCAGATTGTGTAGGTACCTGCAAATCACATCATCACATGTAATTTTGTCTAAAGTTGTTTTCAGATTAGCATAATTACTCATATTATGACACCATCACAATAATTCTGACTTGTTTGTTAATCCAAATACTCATGATTATTAAGTCTGTATTCAATATTAATATTCTCTACCCATCACCAGTTTATGGAGAGTTATGTACACATTGTCATGACCACTAAGTCCCATTTGCTTGGATTTATATTTAGAGTTTAAATATTTGTTTATTTGGGGTGTAAGTGAATAATGTTATGTGAAACTTTCAGAAGCCACAGTCTGTTTTCCTTGTTTTGAAATAAAGGATAGAGCTGATCATTATGTGTTTATTTCATAAACTAATGCCAGAGTTATATTATGTTTGATGTTTTAATGGTAGTGAAAATTAGGATTGTCGAGTTATATTATGTTTGACATTTTAATGGTAGTGAAAATTAGGATTGTGGTCTTCTGGGTTATGACTAAATGTGGGTGGTTACTGACATTTTGGAGTACCCATTTACCTCCATATTAGGGTTGATGGAGATGAAATGTCCCTCAAAAATTTTGGTGACCACCTGCATCTTAACCTAGAAGTTCACAATCCACATAAGAAAATCCCTGTGCTGAAGTAATGCCACATAAATATATGGGGGTGAGGGTATAAAGCTTAGTTCATCTTAACCTCAGCACTAAATGGAGGTTGGTTGTCAGCATTATGCTATGGTCACTTTATCTCCAGGGAGTAGCCCCCTATATCCATTGGATAGGGTGAGCCCTACAGTTTATCTTGATGTTGTGGTGACGGAAAATATTTGTGCCTGTGCCAGGAATCAAACCTGATCATTTCAATAGAGTTCATAGTAGATCACTGCCTGAACTTTCCTGCTTTGTTGATTTTATTGTTGTGAATTCTGGTTTGAAGAATATATTTAATAAACTTGATTTAGTGAATACATTGCTTGTGATTTTCATGTATTTTAATTCCATTTTCCTTTGTGGAAACCACTATATTGCACCAAGGTTTCAGCCTAGTATGTGACTTCTCCCAGTATTTATACTTTATTTCTGTCTTTATGTCATTGGTTCCAGAAATATATTTAATACGCTATATCGAGGTTAGTTTCATGATTAATAGACACAAGTGTAAATATTTATACTTTGATAATGTGGGACTTAGTGGCCTTTGCACTTTGTATTCAGTTCAGTAGGCTTACCTTTGTGAAGTGCCATTTGGGGGATGTGTATAGATAGGCCGTGTCTGTGTAGCAGCAGAATCAGCATCATTGCGTCTCAGGTACGAAGGAGTATTTTGTGAGTAATCTGGGATAATGTTCTCATGTTCTGCCACACAGCGTCCATTCAGACAGTACTATTTAAATTAATGTAGGGATATGATTGAGTAACATTACATTTATGAAATTCAAGATGAATTGGTAGTTTTAATCTTAACAACAATTCTGTATGTGAATAACCACCATGTAATGTGGAAAGTAGTGACAGCTGAGAGAATTGTAAGTGATTTAATGGGCTGTCAGTTGTATTATATTCTGAATGCTTAATTTTTAAGACGTGGTTAGTTCTAGTGGTGGCAAACAATTGATGTTGAAAGATAACCTAAAGCCACTATCCACTGCCATCACTATAAATTTTTTATAAAATTATTGTATGTCGTAGAGTCTTGTACTTATTTCTGTTGCAAAGCGCCATACCTGTGTAGATGTTTATTTCATCTGACTGGTATCCTGCTTTTGTGTATCTTAAAAATTTGGTCTGGCTGGAGCTTAGTATGAGAACTTATGAGCTTGTTAATAAATGTGTTAGAAAAATACAACAGATCAGTTCTGACTGGGACAGTAGCATAAGGGATCTTTATATAACACAGCCTAAACCTTTCTGAAATCTCCTATCTCTAACATTCTTGTCAAATTTCCCAGCTCTTTTCTTTCTCTGTATTTTTGTACTTGATTTCTCTGATATTATATACTTGTATTAATTGTCCAAAGATTGTCTATGTCAAGGCAGATCTAGTGATGGAGTAAACCGATTTCAGTGATTTTGAATTTAAAACATCTTGTGTATGTCCAATTTTACCAGACTGTTCAGATCAACAGAGAATACATAAGAATTCTGAGGTTTCTACAATTCTTGGTTGATACATGTCAGTACCAGAAGAGTATATAGCAGTTACAGTGACTCCTTTATCTTGTTACATCTAATTTAAAAAGAAAATTTCTTGTCATTTTCATAAATGTTGTAGTAGGGCTAAACAATTTAGTTCATGAATTTACCTGTCCGTCACCACAGGGAGAGCCTTCAGCCGCTGGCCTATATGCCACACAGTATCCAGAACCCGCATCAAAGCAGAACAGCTGTGCACATACCCGATCATCTTTCTGTAATGACACATACCCCATTGTAGAAATCATGTTTATTCTTCATTATTAGGGAGATGGTTTTCTAGAACAGATTTACTGATCTGATGGTACGTTACTTAATATATGAAGCTCTATAATTGTAATTAGTAGTGTTAAATATATTTATTTTATCAGAACCACAAAAATAATTGGTTTAGTTCTAACACTACTTTTCCTTCCTGTTCCCATTTTGTGGACATCGTGATCTGACAAGACAAATGGTGAGGAAGAGGGGATGAGTTCTGTGTTCAGTCTCTATATTTCTCAGAAGTGTGGAGGAAGCGTTGTGTTACAAATTACAAATGCTAGATCCTTGAAGTACAGTACTACCTGACAAATTATTTCATATACCCTCGTGCATAAATATTAATTTTTATTGTGGATGATTATGATGTCTAATTTTAATGCCACATAAAAGTGTCAGTTTTCATATAGTAATCAGATATGTTCAGAAATGCTAGTAGTGTCAAATTTTGTAGATTGTATATCAAATCTAAAACTTCTTGACGATGGTGAAGAGTCATTTGAATAAAAATTTTCTTGGATATTATCCATCGTCTAGTAAAATATAAAACGTTACGACGTTTCGGAGATGGGGCTCTATCTCCGTCTTCAGGTTCCTACTCGGTTGGGCCCACTAGATAGAGCTAATCCCCATCTCCGGACAAAGTAAAAAAGTGAAAGTCCCGGAATAATGTTCATATGTATTCATTCCCACATTCTGTGAGTTTTTGTTTTATTTGGCTTTATCGCTTTTAACAAATTTTATTTCTACTATTTTATTCTTTTACGTCCCACAGATGGATGGTGTGGTGATGTCTTTTTATTCAGGGACTTTCACTTTCAGTAAAGGCTGATAACCACTGCCTTGGAATATTTTTTTTGAAATGAGCAAACTTACAAAGCAAGCACTTGTCCCTCTGTCCTTTCTGCACTGAGCATCGAGGGTTAGTAATTTGCCTGGAAGAACTCGAGGCAGAGATTCATCTTCGTGTGGTGAGTTGTATAGACATGTTGCTGTATCACCACTGAAATGAGATAAATAGTAATTTTACCCTTGAACCGCTGCATTCTGACGCATCAGATATAAATGTTCTATATTGAACATGAAGAGCACATACTCTATTTCATGAATCTTTGTACTGTGAAGAATTATTTTAGTTGAGTGGTAACATTAACCCACTCCCCTCGTTATTAGACCATATTTTGCCTGTGGTCTATAACCAAAGGATCATGTATTTATAAATTTAGTTATGACTAAAACACTATTGTTTTGATGTTATTGGGAGGTCTCTTCAAAATTTGCGTTGTCTGGAAAGAACAATTTATTTTTATATACTTACTTCAAAAAATGATGAAAAGATGATATACTGCAAGATGACCATCTGAACCCCTTCTCTGTGTGTCGGAGATCACTCATGATATATCCGTCCTCCCATCGGCATTTCTCTGCACCAGGTCCTCCCAAGTAACTTGGAGGAGGGGAACCATCATGGACAGCCCCTAATCTTTATAACATGAGTACACAGAAAACATTAACAGATCTGTTATGGATTTGACTGACTCATTATTAATAATAGAATCCAAAATTACTTCAGACTAACTGAAGGTACAATATTGTAATTTAGTTATTTATGCACAAATGTTACACCCTGCTTGACAAAATTACTCACACTTAAGTGTGGTTTGAAGGGGGGGGGGAATGTGTTGACATGTAACATAAATATTTAGTATAGAAGTATATGTTGTAACAGAATAATTGTTTTAATTTTCATTCACTCTTGTGGTGATGATAATTATAACTTTTTATTATTCTCTACAAAGAATATTAAGCTTGCCGTTGACTGTGTTTACTTCCTACAAAGGATATTGACCTCATCATTGATTATGTTTGTTCCTTGCAAACAATGTTTATACTGGCTGTTAATTAAATGATTGATTTGTACAATGAATGTGAAGCTTGTCATTAACTATCATTAACTTACAAATGTCCCACTTCATGGGCTCCAACAATGATTCCTGAGAAACCACCTGTGTCCTCAATGATGGCAACACTGTTGACTTTTTCTAGTCTCTTGTTGACAACACACGCCCCTCCAACGTATGCAAAACCTGGTGAAAAAAATTGAGAATCTCTTAATGTTTACAGAAAGAATATTATTTGGTATTTAAAACTATCTGCAGTTCATAACATTTCATTTTATTGTCTGGACTATGTTTAACTTCGCCCTTTAACATATTTCAGTTTTGTCACTGCTTGTACCAAACTACCTTGTGGGTGTAATCATGATCAAACTCACTCCAGTTTACATTCCTCCAACATGCTTTTTTAAAAAAAAATTGTTCTCACAAATAAATAATTAACTCACTCATGGAGCAGTCATCCCACTTTACAAGCTTACAGTTACTCATTTGGTCAAGAAGTCCCCACCTTTATGGATCTCAGGTTCCAGACTCATAACTAAATTGCATAACATATTTCAGTATGTATTTGTTTTTCAAATTCAAGAGAATTTTAATTTCAATCTTGGTGTTTAACTAGCACAGTAATGTATTGTATTTGATTCTGTGCCAGTAAAAATTTTCCATAATATATGTAATTCAGTTCTAGAGTGAAATTAATTTTTCTCATTTTTCTAGATATCTGTATATAATGGAATATTGTTTGAAGGTGATCTATATTTTTTTATCTTTCATACATTTGCATGAAATAATTCAATTCGCTACTAATTTAAATTTTTGACTAGACTTCAGTTGCAGGAGATCTCATGTGATTATATGTGTTGTTGCATTTGAGTAGCTAAAAGGTGAGACCTACATGAAAGTTGCATGTATTTTTAAATCTTTAATAATAATGAAAAAAGTTCTGTTTCAGTAATAAATTATAAAGGCAATCAATAAGTATCAAGCATGTATGTCTTATATGTGAAACCGAATAGTTAATTATTAAATACAATCTCCATATTTAATATTAAATACATGCACATGAGTCAGCATTACAAAACTCTTAAATTTCCTACACTTTTATTAAATTCTGTATCTTACAGATGAAAATTATACATTTTAAAGCCATTTTAGAATAGTCTTTTGTATAATGCAAATTTTAAATTTAAAAATATGTAATTGTTATTAGTGAATTAATCATTAGTTCCACCACAACTTAAATGTTATTATTTAAACACAGTAAGTCTGTGCTCATGAGGTTAAAGACGTGTTATATAGTTAGACCTCTGCCCTTTAGTTATGCATGATGCAGTACAATCATTCATGAATTAATGTATAGCTTATTAGGTATTGTATTCAGTGCATTTGTTGAATCTTGCTGTAACAAGTATGTTAGTTAAGATGCATTTATTAGTAACGTACTTTGCCATTTGTATCAATACTGTATCTTGATGGATTTATAACAGTTAAGGTATTTATTGTATTGGTAAGAACCAAGAAAACAAGGACTGGAGATCAGTACAGAATTTCTGACCAAATAACAATTCAATGCAACATACTGAATGTCATTTTGCAGATTCATGACTTTGATTAATACTTCACATACTTGTAATGAACATGATTTGTAGACACAGTGAAAGGCCATTTAACCCATGAATTTGACCCATTGATCTTTTTTACATAGTGTTTACTTTCTTGTAATTTGAATAGGAGTCCTGATTTCAATAATGGCATTCCTTAAAACATACCTATAATAGTAGCCGTCACCAAACTGCGTGCTTCAAAGTCACATCAAAATCACACAAAGTTGTGGCACAAGTAGTGGAGCCCAAGCGAGTGAAGACAGCATGTGCTGTTGACTTTGACTTAGAGCCACATGATAAGGGCGGTAAAGTCCTTTTGTGTTCTTGAAGCATGCAAAATGGCGATGACTACTATAATATTTTTAGGTTCTGAGGTTTTGTTGGTACTCTCACATGGTGTTACTAATCTCAATTTGTATAAATAATTACTGATTTAGGCCATTCAGTTTCAGCCCTATCTGATTCTGTTGTACTCTTGAAGCAGAAGAACAAATATTTTGTTGTGATTGATGCAAATGGCAAGAACAGCAGTCTTGTGTTACGTCACACAAGCATGTCAGATTATTGTATAGAAACATATTCAGAAGTTTGCCACATTGGTCATATTCCATTTATATCATAATTTTATTTGGATTTCTTTTAAATTCTATGCTTTGTTATTCATTGTTTTAATTAACTTATGAGTTGGAGGTGACCAAAGTGGAACCACTGATATGACTGATTAATTTGTCCTGTGAGCAAGCATTGATGTTTTTATGTACCAGACTGAAGGAAGCACATTTACCCTTACCTGGGGCTCCAATTCCATTCTTGTTCAGCATTTGGGACAGATAACAAGAGGATGAAAATAATAAAATAGTAGATAAATATGAAGAAACAGATTAACAAATCTTGTACTAATGTCAGTTTCATTGTCTGTGTGTTTCTGATAGTCATAAATTTGCTTGTCATAACAAAGATTTGGCTTCCTAATATAAAAAAGTTTTGAACAGTTTTTACTACAGATTATATAAGAATGCAAAAATTATTGCCAAAACAATTCTTTGTAGTATTTTCAAAGTTCCCCCCACCACTTCCTTCTTCTCTGTTACTTCTAAAAAGTAATTTCATTAAAGAAATTGTCTGAGCCATGAGTATAATTGTAAATCCATTCTTAAACATCATCTATAGTCATTGATGATCCTTTCAGGATGCTCCTATAGTGTCTCAGACATAGTAATCAATAATAGCAGTCACATGTGTGAGGTCAGAGCGAAGAGACATGGGTTTGAGTTCCTGTTATAATGAATAAAATCTCAGCTGCAATCTTAAAGAAAATGCTCTACCAAAGACGCAACTGAGTTAGACTCATTTACTACAGATTAAAAGACTGCAGTATTTAGAACATGAATGGCCTTACAGTGTTGATTTTATAATATGTAGACATCTTTAAGCCACCTTACATGGCTGGTAGCCCAAGAAGAATTGATTATATCAATTTTTGGCTAACAGATTTGTTTCTCATCATAGGTAGGCATCAGTGTTTTTATAAACTTTGTTAAGTTTAAACAAACAAAACTCTACTGAACCTCACACATTTGTCTCTTAGGAAATTGGCAACTCTCTTTTAGAACATCCACTGTTTGTTCCTAATTTTGGTATTAGATTTTACGTGTAATTGTCTCAAAAAGTTAGTTATATAGAGAATAAGCAGTATCAAGCTTTCATAAATATTTGAAGTTAAAGCACAGTAATACATAAGATAAGTTTTTGAAAATGTAGATTGTTTATTTTTTTAAATAGTTACTGGAAGTTTTAAAAGTCTTTATTTTAGATAAGGTTTTAGAAAAAGTTTAACATTATAGATACTTTATAGTTTTATTTATTTGTTTCTTTATCTGATCAACACATGAATAAATAATTAAATGGTTTGTACAGAAATGTCATTGTCTCAGTAATATATTTTGACATGTGTTTTTGCTGTGAAGAAATTATTATATTTACCCACATCCAGTCTTTCTCAGTAGTGCCACAACAATGCAGAAATTCTTTAATCCTCCTACAATATAAAATTTTGTATGTATACAAACTTAGAGATTTTTCTGCACCTTTGGAGGGTGTGCCATTCCAATTTCACTTAGCATATTATCAGGTAACATTTAACTGATTAAAATCAGAGAACCAAAGCAAGAAATGCCATTAATTACATTTCTGTAGCAAACCTTCAGATTATCTATTGTGATACTATAAATGCCAGTTTCTGCAGCCCATTATCATGGAGAGATATGTTTGGTAAAAATAAATCAAATTTTTAATCCTTCTAAGCTTCATCATCTTAAGCACAGTTTTTATACAATATTGAAGTTAATCAGAAACTAATAATACCAGTGTGTCATCATTTATTCTTTATTCTGTTTATAGCTTTCATAAGAAAATAATAAAACTTTATTTTGTTGAAATCATTGTTAATTCTGATGTAAAATTTTCCTTACTTTGTGAAATCATTTGAGATAGCCTGCCATTGATTTCAGATTTTGAAGTCTTGTTTGAATGTTTTCACTGGTGAGGAATGGAGTAATAAGGTATGAAATAAAGAAAAAAGCATTTGTAATGAGCTCAGAAAGTGGCATTTGCATCATTGGCGATGTGCTGATCTCAGTCTCAGTCAAGTTTGGTAGCTCATGTAGCAAGCCTACCTGCAGTGCCTCTGTTGCATACGTCATTAGCATACTGTCTCCTGCACATGTCTAATCTGGAATAACAATAAAAGTCACCATAATATCATTTTTACTTGTACTCTGTAGGTTTCAACATCGTTTTCTGTATAAAACAGAATACGTAAGGAACCATATTCAGAAAAACCAAACTTACAGCAATAGCAGCATATTGAAGTGAAGATGGCTGAAATTCATTAATCTTATGCAGATCTGAGCAAGATGATATTACAGCGTATTATTTTAGGAAATATCTGTCGGTCCTGAGTAAAGTATATGCCATCTAAATTATAAATGGATCTTTATGTTTGGAGGGAAACTTCGGACGGAACCAACTACTTTGAAAAATAAAAAGTATTTTGTCTTTTTATTGTGGTTTAGTGGTACTCCATACACTGGAACACAGAAAAATCAATCGGAAAAAATACATCATTAGTCAGCTGCAGCCATCTAGTAGTTGTGGCTAGCATCTGAACACTGACAACACTTGGCTGGCTGTAGCTGTCTAACAGTTCATTTTATCTGATTGGTTATGCTGTGTTTCAGTGCATAGAGTATCACTGAACCACCAAAATAAGACAGAAGACTTTTTATTTTTCATTTTTTAAAGTGTTAGCCAGGCTGACACATTTAACATGAATACTTCACTCCTGCTTATTATGAATATAATTGATTGAACTTTTTTCCCCTTCTTCTTCTTAGCTACATGAACTTAACTCTTCTGGAAGTAAACAGAGATAGTTATAATGATTTTGTAAATTCAGCTCCTCAGTTCTGCACAATATTGATATATAAACTTATTTGTTTATTATTATAAATATATAAAGAGTAAACAATATAAATGATATGCATGCACAAAATTGAAAGCAGTATATCTTCCTACTATGTACCTTGTAGAGTCATGGTTTGTAATAGTAGTTTCTTCTGATGTTGCTAGATTGGCTTCAGCTAATAATAGAATGATTATGATCATGTTCAACACTACTTAACCACAACCATGACACACATACAATATTAATTTCCCATCACCATTTTGAATTCTCCTGTAAGTAATAATGGGGAAGGGATTTTATACATTGGGCAATATGTACATAAGCTTCATTGATGATTGTTGTTATTGCACATACCGGCCGTTCCCTTGGTACAACGGCCGCCTTTTCTACGTCGACACATGTCATACCTAAACAGCAAGCAAACTTTACTGTAATTCATATCTAAAAACACAATGTGTATGGTATTCAGAAGCATGTGCAATAAAGTTTTCTTAAGAAATCAGCTGTATGAGCATGTAGTTCATTAGATAATGTTTCGGAGACTCTGTCTCCAGCATCCAGATTAATGTGAAGATGGAAGCAGACAGATTCTCCAAAATTTTGGCTATGAACTCCCTGCTCACACAGCTGATTGTCCAAGAATACTTAATGAATTCTTATCAATAGACCAAAATGGCAAGCCTCTGAAATATAATAAATACTTTTTCTATCCAAACAGGAAAACATCCAAAAATAATTCTCTAAGCACTTATTCATTATTTTTTGAAAACCTGGAGATAATCTATAATTCATATAATTGTTTTGATGACCTGAAATAAGACATGCGATATTAATAGTATTTAATTAATTTGATGTTCATTATTAACATTATGAAATGCCTTTTACAGTGATAAGAAGTAGCATGTATATAACAGCAGTAGTCGGGTGTCATTACTGAAAGTAGGGAAACTCGAGCATCATAAATATGAGCGAACAATAAAGTCTCACATTCTCCTACTACTAGATGAATGTATGTGAACAGCTTCATGCTCCATGTGCCTCTGTCTCAAAGAAAAACTAACTTCTGATGCCCACTGAATGAGAGAATGGATGGCCTTCAGGGCTGTTCCGAGAATGACGATGAGAAAACTGTCTATGCTTGTACAAGAAACCAAACTGTGGTGTGCCATTACATAACTGTCACTTTACTTATTGAGCTATTATGACTCTACACCAAAAGTATAAAGTGTATTAATACAATATCTATGAATTAGGCCTACTGCAGCAAAAATTATATATAAAAGACTATATACATCACCCAGCCTTTTGAAGTCATGTATTTTCCTTTAGTAATTTCTTCTGATCCTCTGAAAATAGACCTGAGGAAAGAGTATTAAGAGGGTGATGTAACAACATATCTTACTTAGTGACAGCCACAGCAATGTCGTAAACAGGAAGCCTCCTCTCTCGGAACAGGTACTTCCCCATGTCGGTGAGGGCTGCCGCTGAATCAATAGCATCTCGTCCCACTCGATTACGCTCCAGGTACGGTGTCGCATCACGGCCCTATGCACGTATTTATCAGTAAGGGCAGTTGTTAATTTGTTTTAAATCACCTTTCACAGCCACTACAGTGAGGAAAGTCATACATACCCGTGAAATAATTATTCCTGCTATACTGATGCGAATTTTAGGGCCTTTTAATAATTTGTATCTCAGGTCAACGCCATTCCAAAAGGAGACGAAATATCGCTTGATTTGTACGTTGTCTCCTCCGTGTAGTCTGTAAAATATTTGCAGTTTTAGAACCTGCCAGGAAGGGAATGTATTCCAGCTACATTACTTGTAGTTCACGCACTCAGATGCTCTTTAGCAACATTCATGACTGTATATACTATTAATGAGCACAAATAGTACACCTTAAAGATTTTAACTTTATCAGGACATTTATGTTATTTATTAATGTCTACCAGTTTTAATCCTATATAGTGAATTGTACATTTAGAGATTTTTTCCCTGTATTAGTAAATGGAAATTATGCTCCCCACTTTAAAATTGTGAAATATTTTCATCATAAAAATACATCCAACTTTATATTTAACTGGAACCCATACTTAAGCTTTCAGTTTGTGTGTTATTTTAATAAGCAGAGAATTTTAATCTTGTAAATATGTTTACCTGTAGCCATCATAATCCACAATAACCAAAATTTCTGGATAAATGACATATGGAGCTTCTCGCTTACTTATTGACCGTTTACTACGGAATTTTTTGGCTAGGTGATCTGGTTCCATGAATGCTGAAAAAAGAAAGATGATGAAATTAATTTCCTATACGTAATTGAATGTTGTTTATATTAGTTGAGAATTTCCATGTTGAAATATTAAGATATATAGACTATAGATTCATTGGTTATTGTTTTCTTGTACATAGCAGCCAAGTCAGGGTGCAGTTATCATGTTTTTTGGTGGGGGAGTATAAATTTAGTTGCAGGAATTGTAGGCTACTAAACTAATTTTACCATTATTTCAGAGGCTAGATAGATATTTTCTGTTACATGTATACCAATATAACTGAAAGGTTAATTATAAATACTTAATTAACTTATCTAAAACACCAAAGTATTGGTACCAAGCTTTGTTTATTTGAGCTATAAAAATTAAATGATTTTGTTTGTCCAGATATATCACAAAAAATGCAATTTGATGGAGGTACAGAGGTTACAAACATCCATGTATGTGAATGATGTTATTTCCTACTATGGTATTTTAATTACTGAGATATACAACACCAGTTAATATGAACATTCTCTTAAGAACCATGGAATTTTAATTACTGAGATATATTAACACCAGTTAATATGAACATTTTCTTAAGCAGTTAATATGAACATTCTCTTAAGAACTACTTATGGTAGCTGTGCTTAGCGACTTTAGTGTTTCTCCACATCCAATAAGGGAGGTCATGCCAAAGTACAAGAAAATGAAACAAACACTTGTTATTTAGTTTGATTGATTTTATGATTTGTTTATTACAATAAGCTATTGTGGACTTTCTTGGGAGCATGAACATAATTTGTAACATTATATCTATGGGAAATCAAGTTTGAGTTTGAAAATGGCTGTCTTCTGCCTCCATCATCAGGGCCCTGATGATGGAAGCAGCAAGGACATCTGAAATGACTGTAAACTTCTACCAGGCAGTGCAACAACCCAGAAGACAGCCATCTTCAGACTTACAGCAGTGAAAACCTCAAATCCTGTAAGTTTAAGTTCCTAACAAAAGAAAAACTTTAGTACAGAAACCATTTATAACTTATGGGACTTTTTGTTGTTTCACCTGACAGGTTTTTAATGATACTGCTTTAGTTATAAAGATTATTATCACATATAGTAGTAACTAATTGTTATAGTTAACTGGAAATTGTTATAGATGAAATGTTTCTTCATATTAATGGACTTCTGGGAATTTGTATATTCAGTTCTGGTGTTGCTTTAACAAGTATGTTTTTGCATTCTAGATTTAATGGAAAATGGCAAATAGAAGTATGTGGTATTGCTTTTTGGGATATTACCATAGTCACTAAATTCTGGTTCTTCAAACTGGGAACTACTCCGCCTGTAGATTATGTGCTGCTGTGGTTTTGGTTCACTGTTACTTGTACTTTGTATCCTTCTGAGTGGAAAGCCTGTTTCAATAGCAACATCCTCCTGTATGTCCTCCCCATTTTCATCCAGAAACATCTCGTCGTCATCACCACGTTTTGAATCACGTGGTTGATCTAAATGTTGCCGTACGCTAGCTGGCACTGGCTTCACTACCAGGTCATGTCCAATTGTCCCCTCCTGAAACATAAATGAAGCTGATATTTCATGGCAGAAAGTATGAAGATGATTGTCTTCTGGAGTGTTGCACCATGTTGTCTGGTAGAAGTTGCCAACATTTCAGAGGTGCTTGCTGCTTCTGTCATCAGAGCAACGATTACATATTTCACACTTGACTGTATTATTGTGCCATTTGTGTGATGCAGAAAATATTGAAAATAAGTTCTCACATTGATGAATGTGGTAACATGGTTTTGTGTTGGTGTGTGTGACATGAATTTGGTTTCAGTCACCATGAAGATGTTTTCACATTTAATTTATTTCATAAATTTCATAGTGATTTACCTCTTAATGCTGTTTATAGAAGTAATCACTCCTTATACTGAGGATTATATGAATACAAAATAAAGAAGTATTGGTTGTTGATGCAGGTTGAACATTGGGCTTTAAAGGGTTGAGGAGAAAATGTGCTTTACATGTGCACTATTAACATTTTTGTACATGCCATTATGCCATTAAAACACCTTATGGGCTGTAATAAATTGTTTTTGTAATGAGTAAGCATATTGGAAGTGAAAGTTTGTAGACAATATTGATTTCCAATTAATATATCCATGGTCAGTTGTATAAAATTGTGCTTTATTTTACTTTATCAGCTATTAAGGCAATGGGGTTAAGAAATTACATGTATTTAGGTTAAATTACCCATGAATAAATAAGATTGCACATATTTTTCTTTTTCAGTTGTGAAGGACGTCAGATGCATTATTATACCAACCACAACCTTGATATATTGTTAAAATGGCACACCACATGTTCCTACTTCAGGTAAATTTATGTGCATGTTGGTAGAAGTGTACAGAACAAGTATTTCAAGACCAGTTTGTGGCTGTGGAACCATTCATAAACACTTCTAATGGTTTTTCTATTGACAGTAAGTAGTTCATGCCTAGCATTTTAATAAGAAACCTGTGTTATATCGAAAATAAACCATATTTGCTGTTTTAGAAAGCTGTTACAACTTCTAGCAGCGTGATATATTTTCAGACAGAAGTCAAAAGAAGAAACACGCGGGAATAGAGTGCCTTATAGTCTGATTGTTTAAGATAGAGATAACACCGTTGTCATTGTGCTGGAGACGTTCTGAGTGAATAAAAGCAATTTCAGTTTACGTCACCCCAGCTTTAACGCCAACATTGGTGGTAATAAAGTGTGGTGCTCTAACAGGGCTTGGCTGTATTCTTCATTCAACTTTTGTAGTTCTTGTGTTTACAGAGTTGCATATCCATAGTTGCCTTTCTAACATTAATGACTGACATAAAGTTGTAACTGGCAAGCAGCAACAGTTTCACGATTGTTCAGTAATGTCGCCCCCTACAGTGGAAATGCCAAACAGCTCCTTTCATAATCCCGGCCCATCATGAACTCAGGGATGTGCGATGAATTCCCTTTCACTCGTGGCTTTTGTTCAGTGCAAAAAGGACACGTGGCTTATGACTTTCACGAAGCTGTGAGCGTTTTAGACTGACCACATGCAAACAAGGTTTCTTATATGATATTTGAGGTTTTGTTGTTTATTGGCTCTACAACCCGGTTGTGGGTTTTCGCCGCCTCCTTTTTGGAGGTTTCTTGGTCCTGAAGTGTGCATTTATGAGTAGTGAGTGACTAGCACATTGAATATTTGAGGTTTTAACCGTTGTAAAAATGGCGGTTGTGTTCCACCGAACAGAGCAGCTTTCGTGCTTGATATTTGCAAGGTCTCAGGTTCAGTTATCGACCTGGATACTGGCTATCCTGACAGTATTTTCATGGTTGACAGCTTTTTTTTCTTCTGTCCACACTTTGTTAAGCTTAATAATAATCGCGAAAATAAATTGTCATGCCAAAGTGGGATTTGAGGTTGACACGACGGCGACTATGAAGATGGCTGACGACGCAACCCAGAAGACACCCATCTCCAGATTGTCCCTTAATACATTAAACTATTTGTAGTCTTATTAAATAATAAGGAACTACCAAGAAAATAAAAGACGTGAAGATATTTGTTTTTATTTTTGAATAAAGAGCTCTAATCTTTGTATGTTTCAAAGCTGGATACATTTTTGCTCCATTTAATGGCCCTGATTTTCACAGCTGATTGCTTATTTGAATATTATTGTGTGTTAATATTTATCGTAAGGTTTAAATAAAATGATAATTATGTTTCCACATAACGGGCTAGATCTAAATTTGTATGTGAATAGAACCGACTAGACACTCAAGCCTTCGTATTTACAAAATACGACTTTAAATGTAGGATCTGTCAAATTAAATTACATCATGTCTTAACAGTCCGTTATTTTATCCGGTTTGACAGGTATGCCATGGCGGTTCTAGAATTGATCATGAAGATCACCTCGCGTTCTTAGCACCCTTCGATGACCTTCCACGGCAACAGGACACATCGTCATTCAACACTGCGTGGTAAATATGAAATATTCCTGCTTCAGTATCAGAGTAAAGCTTTTAGATAACTTAATTTCACTGGGTTCATATCTTGGAGAAACAGTATGAAATAAGTCACTTGGTAACCCACACTGGCAACTTCGGCATTCATCTCCTCTTTTTTAAATCCATGTTTACTGTTAGCATTTGACTTTAGGAATTTGAGATTTAAACGGTGAATGTGCCGATTGTGGTCTTCTGGGTTATGACACCTTTACTAACTTTTCGGAGGAACTTATTGTCTCCATCTTCAGAGTTGAAATATATCTGGATGGGAGTGTGAGGTGAAGTGAATTTTTAAAAATAAGGGAGGCACCAGTCGTGATCTATTCGCCACGTAATGGAGTAAAACAGTTAAACGCCGCTGAATAGTCTATTTTCAAATGAGACTCGAACAGGCAAATTTGCAGATATGAATCAGCTGACGTCTGCACTGTGGTATAAGGTTGGTATTTGAAAAGTATACACACAGCGCAAATGGACAAGGATTGGCACATAATTAGCTCATTTGACTTAATCTGGCTTGATGCGAAGTTTTACTCCATGTATTTGTTTTCCTGAAAACAATTCGGCAGTTTATATCGTTTCAAAATGCTACTTTCGATATATTTTTATTCGTCGGATTTATTTAATCAACGAATAAGTTCATCAGTATTAATTTATATAGGCAAATTCAAAGTTGTGTTCATTACAATAAATAAGCAAAATAGAGACTTATTTCACTTTGGTTTGCAACTTGTCCGTACATCTCCAAGGCAGACATGAAAGTACTACTGGTACAATCCTTTAGATATCGTGAGATGAAAAGTTCAAAGTTTAATCGAAAGTGCACCTGTTGTGTATGTTTTATAAAGAAGTATGTCTATAGATATATTCGTAAATCTATTGAAAGACTGAGAATACTGACATCTTGAATACATTTTTTAACTATAACAACTCATTTCGTCAATAGAATTAACGAGGTCTTGAGAGGATGAGAGTTGAAAATTTTAATTAATAGGCCTGCTCATAATAGTCTGTCAACTAGAGGGCCCAACAGATAGACTTCTGTTCTCTTCGTCCCTTTTCGTCCTGAAGACGGAAGCATAATATAGCTTTCGAAACAATATAGTTGTATGATTTAGACGATAGACAAAGTCCAAAACAACAGTTGTACGTGCTTATTGTGCATTATCGTTATAAACGTTCAGACTGAAGTGTTTATTTACTGTTTTGCTCTCCTATTGACCTTGAAGTCCGATTATTACAAATGCAGCGACTACTATTAGAGGGAATTCGCAGCTGGGGCCTTCAGCCAGAGCGTAGGAAAGAATAATTTTCGTTGTATTTGGTTAAACAGAGTATACGCCTATTTCAAAATATTTGGATCTTTATGGGCTGTATATTATTTTACTGCGGTTTCTTTGAATTTTCCAATTTGTCCTCCTATTCTTTGCCAGCTGGCTGTACTCCTCGATCGCACAAAACTGCATGCTTCTTTTGGAATAAAAATTTCCACTTATCCTCTTTCATATTGCTAAGGTGCCAAACTTTTAGGCTACATATAGCAAATTTATCTGTATTCACTTTAATGGACCATTAAGAGTATAATTATAATCATAAATGCTTAGTCTTGCTAACCTCGTCCAATACATTGAAGCTTTTTAAGGAAATTTGGCATCATTGTATCTTCTCAGAACTTATTAACACTTATATTTTTACGAGGTTATTCAAATGCAACTCGTGTCCTTTTTGCACCGTGCCCGTAATGCTGTTCAGTCCAATGAATATTTTACAGTTAATAACAGGAAGATGAGAGAGACCGTCACGAATTACATTTTCTCGTGAACTGAGGGCTAGTTATCTTTTTTTTACTTTCGATGACTGCGTATTTAATAGTGTAAAAATCGTCTTCTCTCGTCCATTCATCATTCTAATTAACAATATTTAATGACTACAATGCAGGGGATTGTTTGTCACAGTGAGGAGTGCTATTTATATTATGATTTACAGGAATCTAATGACTCCACTGTTCGTGCTTTATGTAAAACATACTAAGTGAACACATGATAGGGATATCGTATCCGTCTATCTGTACGTCTGAAAGTATGAAGTACACTTCGATTAAATTTGGAACTGGGGTTGTACACTGAAAGTTGTTGGTCGGATTTAATTTTGATTTGTATCTCTCGCCGTTTCAGCATTCATTCTGAATATCATTTTATGGTACAAAAGGTGACATGACAGCATTTATTTGTAACGTACTGTTTACTACTACGGTTTAAAAAGCTAAATCCCCATTCCAGCTGGTACTGATCCCATGAACACCTGCATCCGATATGATAAGAGTTTGATGCCTGAATTGTGTTATATTTTATTTTAATTAATACTTGGCTTTTTATTTCAAAATCTGACTATCCGTTAATTTTTACTTTAAATCATAATTTTTTGATCACACGTTTTAATGATTTTATTGTTTATTTACTTTTACTTTCTATGCTTGCGTTTTAGTTGAATAAGTTTCCGACGTTTCGGGAGCTTGTTTTGAGTTTGTAAAAGTACTGATGTGAGATAAATCGGATGAATTGCGTCAACTCTGTGACGGGTATACTCCAGAAACTCAGAAACGTTGCGTTTGGCTGGTCATCCACCAAAAGGGCCTTAAATCTCTGTGACGGGTACACTCCAGAAACTTTGCGTTTGGCTGGTCATCCATCAAAAGGGCCTTAAAGCGTATCAATGAGATAGTACATGTCCGAATGAAATGAAGCAAAGTATCCCAGATTGTGCAACACTGTATTATGTGAAGACAAAAATAACATAAAACGTGATCTAACGTTTTGCGCTTTGAGACGTGTTAATATCTGGCGTCTAATAGGTACCGCTTACGCAAGATTTGCTCAGCATCGTCTGAATCGAGTTGGAAGAAAACTGTCTTATTGAATATTCACCTGAAATCTCATTTATTGTCAGCTTGAAAAAATCAAGATCTGTTACTCTACAAACGCATTATGAAATTATTTCGAATTTTACAATTTTGTATTTATTTTATTTCAGGTTTTTATCTGAAGAAACCTTATTCGTATTCTGTTCGTTTCTAAGTGTTATCGTAAATATTTATCTTTGAAACGCCACAAACAGCTAGTGACAAAAGACAGGACATATTTTCTTTCAGGGATCATTTTGAACGCCAAATGAAGTCTGACAATAAAGTACAGGGGTATCTCTTGCTTAGCATGGAAAGGGTTGAATTTTCTCAGGTTAATAATCTTTCAGAAGTTGAATCAAATGTGACATTTTTATTATCCGGAAGAGCCAATGATAATTACAAGCTCGCAGTTTGAGACGCCTCACAAAATATACGTTGAGGGAGTATCCTTTGCATGCAAGATTAGGTCGAGGTAGGAATTAAATACTTGCTTTAGGCTTTAGGGCTATTACAATATAAAGTCCAACGGGCCTAAAATAGGCATCCTTCGCATTAGCGTCTTCTCAAAAAATAAATGACAGTAAAGGCCATCTAAAATTTATTGTTAATGCAAATATAGCATGGGATTAATTAAGCTCTCTGTTAACGTGCAGTGCGTTAGAAAGACCTGTTAAGGTTTTATGAGGGATAAAAATATTATAATGATGTCCGTTCTGACTGCGCACAGAAATGTATAATTATGGCATTCACAAAAACGCCCGTGCTTCTTCGTCACACGAGAAATTCTAAAGCCCTCACAACCTTGAAATCATGACAGTCGAATAAAAGTTGTTACAGTGGCCATCTTTCCATTCGAAGGCCTTCTGTGAAGAACAAAGATAACGCTTCCCAATAGGTCACAAGCTTCGTGCCTTGGTATTTACAGCTGATATTTGTGAAGGAGGGTAGGTCAAGACATATGGCACGTATAAAAAAAGGGCACTCCAAATGTCACGGTAGTTTATCTTCCACTTCTGCTAAGTCATTTATAAATCGAGTATTTGAATTGGATAATAAATCAAATGGTATCTTGAAGATTATACTGTGATCGCAGTGGCTTTAATTTTATTCTTCCTTTCAATGACACTCTTAGCATTATTTATCCCCCTTTCCTTTATTAATTTTGTACGTTTATCTCCTTCCATCCATTATCTTATACTTTTCATCATCTCTTTCGTCTTAAAACACGAATGGAAATTTTCAGCCTTTCTGCATACTACTTTATTTCAAGGTTTCCGTCGCCGATATTGCAAATACTTCTAAAAGCTGTCGAATGGTAACAACACTTATACAAAATATGATATTTTGCCATCTTGTATCAATATTAATAACTATTGTAGGTCTGTATGAACGCAACCAAATATACACTGGCGCAAGTAAACATAAAACTGAGTGTTATATAGAATGATACAGACGATAGTAATTTTGCGTTGACGATTTAGACAATACACGAGGCGGGCTTTGGTACTGGCAGTGTTGAACTTTCTTACCGACGTTTCGGTACGAGACTGCATGGCGTTATAACCCAGAAAATCTTTATCTTTATTTCCATAGCCGTGAAAACCTCAGATCTTAGTAATGTAGAGGCAAAATAATGCTGTTTTCCTGTCTTTATTAAATATGCATTGTGTGTAAAAATATTCCAGATAAGATATGAATACCTTATTTATTGTTGTTGTTGTTGTTGCGTTTGGTTGGCGAACGTTCCCTTCATCGTTATTGTGTGTAAAAATATTCCAGACAAGATATGAATACCTTATCTATTATTGTTGTTGTTGCATTTGGTTGGCGAACGTTCCCTTCATCGTAATGTACAGATCTATACTGCATATACTCGGATTTAAATTTTGAAACATTAACTGTGATTACGCCTATCAAAGATGTGTTATGTAATGACGATGATGTAGACTACTTAAACTGATTTCACGGATATTTAAACATTCAAATAGTGCATCCCTCGTGTTAGTACACTGACGTACAGATCGTGCTTTATTCTCTTCATAATGACGAAAATTACAGAGCCAATGTTAAGAATTAGTCAACTAGAATAGAAGCCCATTATTATGTCATGAATACTTCTGTTACAATCGCATGACATCGATGCACCAATTTGTTCCAGCATTGTTGCCTACATCGACCTTGAAATTTATCCATGTATGACAAATATTTGATTTTACGCATAGCTGTGAGCTAGTGAAAGCGGTTGTAATGCAATAATAATGGTCCACTGTTAATTTAAAAGCGTGGCCGGTAACATCAGCAGGTTTATTGTTTATAGAATTACCTCAAATGCTGTCGTAATTACTGTCACCTCGTCCTGATTGCCGTTGACATAGACAAAAACTCGTTCGACCGGGTCGACAGACGACAGGGCTCCCGTTTAATATTCAAATAAAGCAGTTTTCTCGCCCCCTCTCCCTACACTAACTAGTTCCGTGGAGGAGATCCCTTCTTGAGAAACTAGAAGTAGCTTAGCTGGTCAATAAATTCCCGGTGTCGATGTCCACTTAAAACTTACCAGACGACACACACAAACAACACCGACAATTTGATGAAGTTTGTATTGCAAAAAGAATTCTCAGAAACAAGTACTGAAAATCCCTCCATATAACAACATAGAATACATATCAATATAAATACAACATAGGACTAGGATTCAAGATCATACAAGACGAAGTTTCGTCATATTTCGTGATATTTTAACATTTAATCTTTTTAAAACTCAAGCTTAATCGAACATGTAAATGGCTTTATCCGGAGATGTAAATGCGTGATTTTTGTAATAAGTTAAGAGCCAGAAGGTGGACTGATAAGTTCGAAACATGTCGGCCAGTAGTGTGAAGTGAAAAGAATGTATGGACTTGAAAAGTAAAACTTCTTGTTGTGTGAAAATGGACGTGGGATAATATTTTGTTTTTGTAACTACAGCCGTGCTTAAAGCTTCGTTTAATGAACACTAGGGAGCTTTTAATCAATGAAGTGGTAGAAATAGCGGGTTAACTTGGCATGCTCAATGTACCACCCGGTAATAATATGAATTTTACTCTGGTGACGTTTGGGTTTCCGTAACTCCAGCGCCTGAAATACAGAGTAAAAACTACAACTGTAATAAATGAACCAACCTTCATTCAAGACACGTTCTTGGCACCAGAAGTTTTTGAATGAAAATCCAATTTTTGTTGTATGTCTTCTGAAGTGCCGATTTACGATGTAAGTGAAGAATGCATGTAGTAGCAGTTGGCTGGGTGTTTATTATGAGGTCATTGAAACGTTTGTAGTCTCAAACATGGGGCCTCATCGAGATCTTATGCAATGAATTAAGTAGGACCATTAGTTAAGAGTTGTAAGCTAAAGTTATTCTTCAGAATATAAATGAGATATTCTGGTCAAGGATACGTGGGCAGTAGATTTGGTGTCGTGTTTCAGAGTAGTGATCTCTCAGTTTGTGTATGTAATAAGCAATGTTGATTAGTAGCATCGTTGCTAGTGATCATTTGCTGTTAAGGGATTTTGGACCTTATGGGATATTATTTATGATGTACGTGTTGTTATAACCGTTGCCATGATAATGCTGTTTAGCGATACATTTGCCTAGCAATTTCCTGTTAATACTGATTTATTATTGAAAACGGAAAATATTGTGTGAACTGGATTAATCAGGTTCAATACAGGGACCAGTGACGCGTTCTTGTGAACACGGTAATAAACTTTCGGGTACCGTAAAAGGCGGGCAATTTCTTGTCCCACTGAGCGACTGTCATGTTCTCAAGAAGGTCTATGCTCCATATTAGTAGTTTATTTATTGCTAGTAAATTGGTCATCAAGAATGATGGGGAAAATCTGAAGTAGTATGCACACACACACAGTCATATATAATATCCCATAGGGCTCAGAATCCCTTGAACTCTCACGTAGCAAGAGCTGTTTGTATTTCCTTACTATTCACGTATTTGGTTGTGGTTCAGTTAAGGACGTTTTTGGTAGCCCAGATCAAAATTAAATTAGCCTTCCAAGTTACAGTGTAAATTCCGCATGTGAAATTCCGTTCAGTGATTCTCGAAGATAAAACACACGGACGGACAAAATGGTAGACGTGATCTCGCCGTTATGCGCCTGGTGCAAATAGGTGTGTAAGGTCAGACGTACTTATCATGTTTGATCTGTAGTCTGCCTCCATTGTCAGTCTTTTGGCATTGTCGTGTTCAGATGTATACATTTCCTCAGGATGTGATAGGTGTTGAGTCTGATTGGTTATGTTCCATTATACGGGTGACGATGTGTAATTAGTGAAATTTAAAACGTCGATTCTTTCAGTATTGCTTTTACAATAAAGTTAGTGCAGTGATTCCTCAAAACATTACACTGTATGTAATTTTGAAATTAATTAAAATATTAATTGCCTTTTCTACTTGTCTTCTTCCTCTCTTATAATTTCTGGAGACAGTTTTGAAGTCCTAGCAGAAAATTTTGTCCGTCTTTACTTTTATCTTCTTTTCAGAGTTTAAAAGACTGTCATTTATGTTTCTGACTCGTAGGAGACGGCCAGAAAAGTGGGACATAAAATTATCGAACCAATCATGATATTTTGCATTGTTTTCTCTTTGTATTTCCTCTTCATTGGGACCAAGGACACCCAGAAGCATTGCATTTTTGCAGGTACATGACGTCAGGGTCATAAACTGAAAAGGACGATGTGGAAATGCTAGAAATCGAAGACTTCTTTTGCAACTCGTGATAAGTTTCAGCCATGTGTGTATAGAATACCGTCTTAGAAGAAAAACATTCATCCATACGCCATAATTAAGAATAATTACAGCCCTGGGCAAAATTAGTGTTTTCACATTGTTACATTGTTAGATCATATGTTATAATGCAGAGGAATGTATCTACTGTCTGGGAGAGAGAGCGAACCTAAAATTTCCCTCTCAGACCGAAGTACCGTGAAACAGTTGTACTCGGAGAAGCATGAAATTCTGCATTCTCTTACAGAAGCCAGAGGAATTCAATTCCACAATAGTCAGCATATTCAGAAAATATATACCTTTATATGATCTATAGCAGAGGGGCCAGAGAATGTTTTCTCTAGCCTTTGCGTCCAGACCGGAGCCTCATGTATAACGGGTACCGGGACATCTTTCCTTTACTTTTAGTAAACTGTGTCTTTTGTTAGACAAAATGAATGTGTTGAGTAACAAATACTCACCACAAGCAATCCGCCATTTTTTTTATCTCTGTGGACCAAGAGTGCTGCCATGTTCTCTTCGTCTTGATAAACATCTCCAATGTCTTCACCCTGGAAAAATATATGACTATTTAGTAAACGCTTACACACACTAGCATCAACATTTTAGAGTATTTCGTGTCGAAGTGAAGAATATTATAGGCTAACAAAAATGAAGATGTAATTTTATTAAGTCTTAGTCTTCCACATGGAAGAAAATAAGTTACGAATGACTGAAGATGCGCTGTTGACAATATTTATTTTTTTCCGAACATCGCTAAGATAAAATGGAAGGAAAAATGCATAACGACGAACTTCGAAACATATTTTTCTTCTAGGAAATGAATTGATTAAAGCGGTAACATTTCTTAACTGGATGATGGAATTTCTAAATGCAAGTCCATTAAAGCAACTGGAATAATCGGATTGAAACAGCCAATCCTTGTGTGCTAAAACGGTATAAAAAGTCCTTTTTAGTTACGTAATTCTTTTAAAAATAGACTTGAAATCGTTTCCACTTTTACGGCTTGCGGCTAAGGTTCTGATAAATTCTCGACTTAATGGTAAGGATGCATAATTGACCAGTTACTTTCCAAGCCTTGATATTGATTTGTTTCACTGTTCAGCTAATTTCCACCGAAGAGTTGTTAATTATAGGTTTTTCTTATAAACCATACCACTTTATTCCATTTCATTGTATCAGCTACCTGAAACTTCATTTTATATACGTAATTTCGGTAATTACGACCTCAAAGTACTTATACAATTTTCTTTCCGATTTGTTTTAAAATATAAATATTACAACGAAATTATTAAACTGCTCGTTTTGTTAAAAACTGTTTTTATCCGTTGCTACGGCAGAGGTTGAAGACTTGTAACATTTTAGCATAAATATTATTGCTTAATAATGTTCATCATGCATGTTCTACCACACCAAGGACGTCCAGTGACGTATCTGCCCTCTGTAGTTCGTTACAAGTTACGTCTGTCTTTTTTTAGTCATAAGTATCTGCAATCACATGGGGAAAACGTTATTATGGAATAATCCCAAATACACTGTGTAAGTTATTTTTGAACGTAAAACGAAATTTGTGGAACTGAATGCCAATACATTTAGACTGGCATATATTTTATTAAGACGAACAGAATGTAAAAGAGTGCTTCACAAGTAAATTAAGAGCATATTAAATTCAAGGAATGATTGCTGCCTTTCGGTTCAGAAACTTTTGTTTCCTATCTCCTGGTTAAGTCCGTGAAGATTAAACCACATAAACAATATTTTTTCCCGTGGTATTGTGTGTCTATGAAACTTGTTCTCTCACCCTGAAGAAAGAACTGAGATTGGAGGTGTACTCTTCGCCAAAAATTATTACGGTGATCAAATCAAGGAGGATGGGATAGGCGGGTTATATAGCACGCATTGAAATATGATAAATTTACATATAACTTTATTTGGGAAACCTGAAAGGAAGGGACTACTTGAGGATCTTGGATATAGGGACGCGGTACATACATCAATAAAATTAGTCCAGGATTCTTTGCGCAGGTCCTTGTATTTAATTGAAACCCCACTCAGTAATCACACGGCCAAATGGACAGACTTCGTCTGCATGAGCCGAGTGCACGGACACGCCTGCTCTATAGGCAACTTCTCTAGCTAAGTTTTGAAACGGGTCGGTCTGTGTAGGCGGAAGGGCTCAGTTACGACACTGGGAGACAGGATTGATTCCCGACATGGTATTTTTTATAAATTATAAGAGAATTTTGTTTAAAAAAATCCGCTTTATCCTTCGTATTGAAGCTTAATCAAGGTAAGGTTAAGAAGAAAACGCCAACGTTTCGAGGACCATCTTCATCCTCGTCGTCAGGGCCTCAGACGTCAGACCCTGAGGACGAGAATGAAAATGGTTCTCGAAACGTTGATGTTTTCTTCAATAAGTCACCTTACACGGCTGGTAGCCCGAGAAGAATTTATTATAAATTAATGTGATCAATATTTAAGAAAGCGATATGCCGTGAACAGTCAACATTTTGTTCTCATAAAAGGCAGGAATTGACTGTTTGCTTCTCAAGAAGGACTCTGTTTTGTGAGTTAGGAAAATATATGTTTCCCATCATTAAAAAAAAAGAATGGTTGCACAGTACTTTTTGTACGCCACTACTGAGCGCGTCAAAATGAGCAGAAGTGTATTCAGTGTTGTTATAATTCGTTCTAATCATAATGTAACTACAGTTCATAACGTACGTCGGTGAGAATGATATAGATTTGCAGAATTTAGTCATTATTATTGACTCTTTAAGTTTAAAATCTGGTATTTTAGAGCACTTGTATGCTGTTGACTTTGCAAGATCATCCTGAAATCTCACTTTATGCACGACTGAGGTGAAGTGACATTGGCCTGTCATGTGTTTTGCGAGAGCTTCAAGTAGAAGTTGAGCTACGGTGAAAAGATTTCACTTTGGCAAATATTCCTTAACCTACTCTTCGCAAGCTGTTTATTAACTGACGATGTTGGTCTTCTGGTTCGCGAAGCCGTGTAGGCTTGTGGGTAGATACTATTGTTCTGAAGTGCCAATTTTGGAAATTGTTTACCAACGGACGCCCTGACCTTTGAGAGCAAGTGCTTCTCGACAAGGTCCCAGACACTTCATATTCATCATTAACTCACGATAACATAAAATAGTAGAACATCTAGTACCATTCTGTGGCCACTCTCTGACCAGGTTATCACTGTATCAACCAACGCTGTCATCACAGTACAAAGGACCTTCTAATTATGCATGGTATGCACCCACGATAAAAGACGAGTGTATTTCTTTCTTGCATCTGCTTTCCGTTATGGCCTACGTCTGATAATGTGATGCGTTATAAGCTCATATGACCACGCCTCCCCCCTTCTGTATCATCATCTCTGCTACAGCCTTCGGTGAAAGTTAGGAAGAATTTGGAAGGCATCGGCCAAGTATCATTTGGGTGAGACAGTGGTATAAATGTCGTCATCGCTTTCAAAATTATGTTTGTTAACTGGGACCAAGCACGATTCACCGGTTGATACAGCTGAAACGATTATACGCCTTTTTGGCCCCCGTTACATTGATTCTCCCTATGGGATATTAGGAAGAGCCTTGCACTCTGAAAGTTCAAATGTCATCTGCTGAATGTGTTGGTCCCCATATCACATTCATTCAACGGTATGGTGGAGGTATTTATAATTGAGATAATTTGTATATTTTCTTACTGGTCCAAACTGACACTGGGGTCCTACCTAGCCTCCTTTTCACTTGATATTGGAAGATTTTTTCTCGGCTGGAGTGTGAAGCAGACAGTCAAACATCTAATGCCCAGGTCATCGATGAGTATCTAGTTAAGATGAAAAACATTGTAAACCTTTCTAATTTATTTCTTAAAGTATGTTATTTTTAGGTGTGGCCCTGAATTATTCTTTGTTCAGCTCAACTAATTTAGGACCTCCACGCTTTTTGCTGTCGTGTTTTGATAGTTATCGCCTTGAATTCCCCAGGCCGGAACCACGCGTCGTATTTACATTTTCAGTTTTTGACCCTGAAGAACGTTTTTGTTTGCACCTCATTTAGCACGGTATGTGACGTAGTTTTGCTAATTCATCGTCGGTTCGTATTTTCATTGACAAAACACTGCGCCAAATCGTAACTATCTTGAGTTAAGTTCCTCGAATTGTTAATTTAACATGTTTGCAACAGCCGTCCGCCGACACTAATTTTTTAAGATCCATTTTAATATTATCTCATATATATCTTCCTAGTGGTCACTTCCCTTCAGGCTTTCCCACCAAAATTCTGTACCCATTTCTTATCTCCCCTTGCGTGTTGCATGTCCCACCCATCTCATCCTCGTTGATTTCAATATCCTAATAATATTTGCAGTGCAAATTTTGGAGCACATCATTATGCGGTTTTCTCCAGTCCCATATCACTTTATACATGTCAGGGTGTATTTTATTCTCAAGACCCTGTTCTCAAACACTTTCGCTTTGTGTTCTTCCCTTAACGTGAGACACAAGTTTCACACGCAACAAGTAAAAATTATATTAGACATTACATCCTTGTTGTGAAAATACACACGTATATAAAACGTGATTCCTATTAACATAGTTCTTGTTGCCCATCATGTGTGCATGCGTGCGTTTTTTGCACCTGGACTCAGAAAACCGATTCTGTAAGCGAAACCGCTATTATGCTATAGCTGTTACTTCACTGCCACCAGGTGACGACTCTAACGCTGAAGCAACCCCAGATATGAGTGATATGGACGTACCTGTGGCAGTTCACGGTACTCCACTTCCTGCGGCTGTGTGGAATTGGGCTCAGCCGTCCACATCTTAAGGGTCCCGCCCTTGAAGAGACCTTCCGCGCGTTGCAGGGTGAGGTGGACGTCGCGTCCGAACGCTGTCAGCTTCAGACGATGCACTTCCTCCGTCTCTGGTGAACCTCCGTCCCCATCATCATCTGTCTGGACACTCCGCTTTGATAAGGAATGCACGTGGACCACCTCGTAATCGGGAACTACAAAGGTAAGTTGCAAATGTTTTCCTTAAATTTGCATGTCAGCGAACATTAAGTAATTCGTATGAAAATCGAGGCTACTACGTCGATGAAAATGTGGGTAGTTATCTCCTGGGCTATGATGCCGTTTACTCTTGTGAGTGTTCACGTGCCGGAGGAACCTATCGTCACTGTCCTGAGGGCCTCTTTCGTGTTACTCATTTGGAAATGCATGTAATTGTTGAAGCTGTTATCTTCCGCAAATACCTGGGATGAAACCCGGTTTTTATGTGTGTGGAAAACATTTAATCATCTGTGTTTTAGTAAAACTAGTACACTGATAACCGATACATTCTGGGGCTTTAGTGCAATGTATGTGTGAGTATAAATAATTTGGATTCTGTTTCTGTGTGATGACAACGTACAGACGTAACCTACTTTGTATTGTCTACGTTTCTGAGATTCGTCAGTGAGAAGTGACAGACCTATGGCTGTTGCTGATTTATGGTTAGCTGGCAAGGATTTTGAAGGAATGACCATAGCCTACTTTGTGCCTGGATTGACTAAAACCACGAGAAACCTCAGAATGGCCGTTGATTCAACGGAGTTGACAATCGGCCAGCCTTATGGGCGGAACAGCTTCCAAATATATGCAATTCACGTGATTTTAAATTTACGTATCCGACTGCAGATGCCATGTCAGATTGAAGGATTCTTCGAATGCAGTTTATGACAGAAGTTTAGACTCTGTCGCACATCGCGGTATGAAATGTCAGTGGTTTGCCGATTGGCACAGGATGCATCAAGAAATTGGGCAAATACCTGCTTCGGTGCCATTTTGTTTAGAAAGTTCATATTTATTACTCTAGAATTTAATACGTACTTCCGCGTTAAGTAACTTACTTGCCTCGACTATGGAACGGCCTGCGAGTTTACATAGGATAAATATCCAAGGTCGTAGGTCAGAATGTGTATGACAAAACTTTTAAGAATGATTTTTAGTGAAGAAAAATTAAGAAACTACATTACAATGCTATCGGGATTTCCAAAATAATAAATACATCTTTCCATAGAAGGCTTACGTAAGTTTATGTTAATAAAACAAATATGAGGGACTTATTATGTAGATACGTAGGTATTATTACTGATCGTGCAAAAATAATGTTTCGTTTGTGTTTTTCGTTATAACAGATTTGTAGAATCAGAAGTGGTTATACTAAATCGGTCCACTTGAACCTGATCGATCATATTGAATTTTATTAAACTCTGGCGTAATGTAAAATAACTCAGTTAGCAATCTTTCAAGTATGCGAAAGTTTTAAAATCTTCCTGAGCGGTCAACCAACCGCTTTTAATTCAAATTAACGCAGCGGATAGCCCGAGAAGATTTTGTATATGATCACGTAATGTAGCAGATCAATAAATAACAAGATTTGGTAGTGACAAATGTGGCTGGTTCTCGTATTTATGGAAGGAACATAATTGCAGTGCGATCTTTACCTTCGTCGTGACTCGCTACTTGAAATACCGTCCGTAGATCGTCTGAGCTCATATGGTGGTGAATCTGCAAAAAGAGAAGGAAAATTTGAGCAAAATCAAATTCAATGCCAGTTTCTTTAAATTGCTGTGCGAATCGACAGTGACAGGAGCTCTGTTACAGGTTATCTCCTCTTGGATAAAAAGAGAAGTGAAGATATTAGAACAATTAACGATTTTTAATTTAAATTGCTGAATTAATGGTGTAGAAATCAACGGAGCAAAAGAAAAACATCATTTATTAGAGACGTCCGTCTTCTGGGTTGTAGCACCGTGTAGTCTGGTAGAAGTTTACCGTCGTTGTACACGTGTAGTGTTTTCAGTTGCGTTATTCCAAAGAGCATAAACATGAAGCGAGTACTTGAATGACAGTACAGATTTATATAATTATACCTGAAAAATGTTTCATATATAAAGAGCCCATTATTGTATTTTGTGATCATTTTAGTGGACTCACTATCTTACTAACACGTTGTAGTAGATACCTTCTTCAGAAGTTAATTGTCTCTCAGATAGGCGAGAACTTCCCCGCTTTTATGGAACCAGAAGGTTCATTACTATGTTCAGAAAAACCCAACACTGGACTCTGTCCTGAACCAGATCGAGCCAGTTAACATTAAATTTTGTTACCTCTGACATTTTGTGCATTATTTATAAAAACAACTTGTGACCTCATTTAAAAATAGCAAAACCTAAAGGAAAAGTAACATGAAGGCAGTAGGCATCTCTGAAACGTCGTCAGTTTCTACCAGAAATACTCGTCGGTGTGAGAAATTCAAATCTAAGACATTTTATACTGTGAAATTCTACTTTTATTTCAACTCTCAGTTATAAATTGTTATTGTATATTCCAAGCAATAAATATTAATTCGGGCTGGTGAAATCGAAACTGCGAGTACAGAAAACGCTTTGCTGGATCTGCCTACTCGTGCACGGACGGGGAATTAAATTTGGGTTGACTGCACTACGAATCATACGTGATCTCTGTTTTCGCGTCGCTGGCAGCGAAGAGTGGTTTGTTGCGTCACTCACGAGGACGTGTCTTTGGGTCTGTCACTCTGACTTTTATTTCACTTTGGAAGAACACATGATTTCTCGCTGTGTACCGCCGTACGGAAATCCGTCGCTACAGGCTAACCTTATCTAAAAGAGACAATGTCGATTGGCTAGTTGATCACTTGCCGTCGAGGGATTTTGGGCTTTATGGTATAATATGTATGAATGCGTGTGTTGTTATTACCACTGCTGTTAACAGATTTTGTGATAATATTTTAACCGTTGCCATGGCAACTCCGTTAAGGAAAACCTGCTGTGCGCATTTGCTACAACGCAGTAGTTATTGTAACCCCCATAAGAGATCATAATTGGTAACTAAGGAAAGTCATGATTATGATTTTTATGTTATTCTTAGTTTCAACAAAATGTGTTTTTTTAAGTTCTAGATTTTTCCATCAAGAATGACGAGCAATTTTCTAGTTGATTATAATTACCATTTCAGTTACAAACATACGACTACTTATCTTGATATAAGACGCTGTAAACGTAGTGTACTGCTAAGCAAATACCTTGCTCGACCAGATATTGAATTTATTGGAGGCGGGCAACAGGGTCAATTATGTATAAGTCTCTAATAAATAATTTCATCTTGTTGAAACCCAGTGTTTATGTAGCAGCATTTCCTATTTCCTAGTTGAGAGATACGTGACACGCAAACTTCTAGGAATATTAAACTAAAACTTTAAAGCAGGTTACTTAGTATAAATTACTTTTGTAAAGTCCCTAAAGGCGTAAATTTAAACCTACTTTTTGATCTTGCACCTGGTATTACGTATTTCGATCTATAAAGCAATTTATCAGCAAGCTTACACTGCCTTAAGATAAGTTGAACGTACAGTGAAGAAATAAATTTGTGTAGAACAGGAAGATTTCTAGCTGAACTCATTTCTCAAGAGAATGCAGCGTTGAACGTGTTTGTATCCGGTGTTACGTGATTCAAACAATTATTGGTGTGCCTTAAGCTTATTTCAGCAGACACGGGGAAAGGAAGTGTGTTACTCGTTAGCAGACTGCTTTAACATTTGCTCTGCGTCTGTGTTACGTGTGCAGGCAGCTGTTAAGACGCGTTAATTTCGTTGTCCATTGGGCGTAAAGAAGAAATTTTCATGCATAAAGCAACTTATTGCATTTCCTTGATTTTAAGACTCACTTTTTCACATTTTAAAATTTCTGAAATCGGTGTGCGTCTTACATTTTATGGGATCTAAGAATCGATGTCGAAAAATTATACTGTATGACTCAAGACAAAGGAAAATCCCCATGTCATGACCCTGATGATGAAGCAGCAGGCACCTCTGAAACGTCCGTCAGTTTTTGCCAGACTACACAACCCAGAATCCGAGAAAACAGCCATCTTCATACTCGTCGCTGTGATAACCTCAGATCTCACCAGCGATAGACTTGTACTTCAAAAAATCCTACAATGGCTCCTTACGCCCAGTCCTACAAACTCACCATTCATGTATTTACCTCACATCTGATTCGATGTTACATACTCTTTAAAGTCGAATCGATGTATGTAAATAGTGAATAATTCAGCCGACGTGTTACACAATGTTCTTATCTTCTGAGCTAGGTTCCAGCCAGGTTAGCAGAACACAGGTTTCAAATAATCGTGGTAAACTCTATGTGACCAATAATATAAATAACAGTGTAATTAATTTATTGGTATGCTTTGCAACAGCACACACAACAAATAACAGGTAAGCAGCAAAGAACAAGGCAACAACAACAGCAACAATAGTGTGTTCCTTTAGTGGCTAACGTCTTTGTTTTTCGTCCTCTGTATTCGTCGCTTCTGCGTTAATGTCAGTCTATTCGCCTTGCTCTCGGCCGGACAGCGCCGTTTCGGAGTTACGACGCCCCTGCTGCAGGCAGTCGTGACATTTGTGTCCACCCGTAGAACGAGAACCCAAGTGTCTGTGTCCTTTTGAAGGAACTCGCCGACGACTGTCGTAATGGACGGACTACTTTTATGTTACTTTTCTCTTGTTTCTTTAGTCTCGATTGTTGCGCTGCCTTGAAGGTCGCACCAAGTCCAGCCAGACAGGTTCCTTTCGCCTCTTGAAATCTCCTACTCTCCACCCCAGTTTCATATAGAACAGCAGGCTAACCCCGGTCCGAAGCACACAGAATACTAATTTAGTTGCTTTGTATGTACCTGTCCATCTCAAACATCGATGAGAGTAAAAAATTTTCATTACTCGTTGCCAGTTCTCATATAGTAACTACGTTCATCGTTATTAACCAGTTATCATTGAACGAACTTTGCGCTGGATTGGTCAGAATTTCTGATCTCGAGGTCCCTTCTTCAAATCTCGGCACGGAGACAGACTATAACCGCTGAGGTTTTACGTCGGGTTTTTTTGTTTCATCCAGGAAAATGCCGAGATTGTACCTTAAATTAATCCATAACACATCGCTTTGTTGATCGAGGCAATAAACACCTCTAAAACGTCAGTAAACTCCTACTAGACTACATCATCGTCCCAGAAAACAGCCATCTTCATGGCATATTTTAATTAACAGCCTTAGAATTTGCTAGAGGGACTGAGAAAAACACGAAGAGCTTAAATCAAGATGGTCGCTCTCCGTTGGACTTCAGTATAATCATCCTATTAAAATTTCGTGAAGATTATAAATTATAATTCTGTTTATTATGTAGACTGTCCATTCTCCCTTAACTTCCTGTTCCTTGGATCTATGTATTCTTAGCAATTCGTTCTCCTCTCTTGCAATGAGAGACCAAGAGTTGAAGCTGCGTGTTTGTATATTTCATTGTTTATTGCGGATAGGAGACGTGAAGCGAAACGATTGTGCTAAATAGTAGCGACAATTACCCTAAATTGATCTGCTCTTGATTTCATCATGTTTGCGATTTATGTGTATTACTGTCATTCGTACTTTAAAAGACTTTATTAGCGATACTTATATCACGGCACGTATCAAGCACCAATTGAAAATTACGCTTCAGTTGTTCTGATCAGGAATTCGTAATCTCCTGCTGCATGTCGAAGCAAACTAGAAAGGTACGGGAACAGGTCATGACCAAGATATCAAGGACTCTAGAGAACACGCCCTACTCACACTGACAGAAATGAAAAGGGACGTGATCTGGCGAAGTGCTGTCGTCCATCGGCTTTAGACTTTGTTGGAATTATTCTTACGCAAGAATTCAACTGCAGCGTCGGAATACACGTTGCACAATAATAATAATAATACCTCTGCGTTATGCTGAATGTTGGCCAAGTTGGAATATTAAGCGGTTCCCAATTTTACCTTTTTCTGCTTAATTAATGCTGAGGATATTTTGCGTGAGGAGTTTCTGGGTGACACTCGTCTCAGATCTTGAGATGGCCGTTTTCTGGGATGTTTTGCAGTGTAGAAAACTGACCGACATTTTAGAGGTGCTTACATGCTCCATCGTTCTACCGGATCCAACAGTGTACTTTTACCTGAATACGAAATTATATCCTTCCTTCGAAACATTGTAATTTTTTAAGGTTTAAGTATAATAATGTCATTATCGAAGACAATCAGAGATGAAGTATTGGTAGTATTTGTTTGGCAACACTATCTTTAAAATACGTGCAATGTCGGAGCGCCTTCAGTAAAGAAAGTTGCCTAAGCGCAACCCTGGGCCACTCTTAACTACGGCCCTGTGTATAGTAACTAATAGCATCCAGTGAAAATAGCAAGAGAGCAGTTAGTTGACTTTCGAATTTTGCTGGCCGAGCCCTAGTGCGCTGAATTTGATTACGTATGTCCAGGTAGCTAGACCGAACAGTATAGCCTGAATACTAATGTATTTTTATTTATTATTTTTGAGAGTGTGGAGGGTCTGCTACATATCGGACCGGTCCTAACACGATAACCACTTGGTCAACATTTCCTGCGGCGGTGGAAGGCGTGGTCACCGACAAAACCATAAGCCATAACAGCGTTCGACCGATAAACATACCACTTCTTATT